GTCTACACAGAGTCATAGACTTTCATTCTTTTTTAAAACAAAGAGAATGAGAGCACCTGTAGAGCTCTGAGAAGAAGATATCCAGCCTTTTTCCAATACACTATTCAAGTAGTCCTGAAGAGTTTTCAACTCTGTTTCAGAGAGATTGTAGATAGGCATGAATGGAGGTCTGACTCCTTTTTCAAGATCAATTGAGTGCTCTGCATCAGGTACAGATGCACTGGACACACTTTCTTCAGAGAAAAAGTGCACATATGGTTAGACATAGTCAGGTAGGTCATTGATGGAAGCTGTATTTGTGAGTAGATTGTCTTCTAAAATCATTGAAATTTCAGGAAAAGGCTCAGAGGCCTGTACAGAGGCCTGAAAACCCCTAGCATGAAGCTCAGAGGTGAATGCAGAGTCCTCAGAGGTTCTGATGAGAGGCTCAGAGGCTTGTGAGATTGAAGCAAGTACTATTGTAAGTACATAGCCAAAGGCATCAGTGAGTAATTCATTAGCAGCATCTGTCACACTCAGGGTTATTTCTTGATTGTTTGATTTTTGATGAAAATAGAATTCTCCATCTTTCCAATCAATGAGAGGATTGAGTTGTTTGAGCCAGGGAAATTCTAATATCATGTCATAGTCTGAAAGTTTGACAATATGAAAGGAGTGAGGTTCTCTGATCATAGTTTTCTTGCTATCTGAGACTTCTACCTCTAGATCAATGGTTTCAAATGAGTGTGTTTGATGACTATCAAACCCCTCTATTCTGCATGATATGCGCTTTGTTGATTGCAATTTGTGTGATTTAGCTCAGAATTCACTGATAAAACTTGCCTGAGCTTCAGAATCTATAAGAGTGAGAATTGATGTGTCTTCTATAGGTGTTGAAATTTGGACAGAAAGAAGAAAAGATAGACTTAGTGATTACTGACTTTTGAGAGTGTTAAGAGTTGTCATTGCAGCATGGATGACACTCCTTATTTGTTTTTTGACTCTTTAGGATTTGATTTGAAAGAGGGTTTTGATGAAGACTTTGAAGTTGAGAATTTATCTTTAGAGAGCTTGTTCTTGTTCTTCTGAGCCTTGCAGTCTGCATTGGAATGTGTAGAGCTTCAGTGAACATCACATCAGATGTCAGAGTGCTTCTTGCATTTCCAGCTTTTCTTTTTGAGTGCTGTTGATATATCATCATGTGAATCTTTTCTGTAAGTAGTGCTTTTTTGTTGTATAGTTGCATCTACTGATGTAATAGTCTTTAGAATATTGCTCTTCACAATGCTCAGTTTTGTGATGAAAGCATCATAGAAGAGATCATGTAGCTTGACTGCATATCTCTCAAATTCTGCATGAAGAGAGGGTAAAATCTTATCAAATAGATGCATCTTTCACTGATAATCACTATATTTCTCAAGGAGGTGGCCCTCAATTGACTGAAGGATAGACATAAAGTCATGAACAGTTTGACCTTCAGATTGTCTTAATACCTGATACTTCAACTTATAGTCCTGACTTGTCTTGTCTGAGTCAATGATGTTAGCATGAATTCAGTTATAGAATTCATTTCAGGTAATTGATGTCTTCAGTTTGAGGTAGTATTATTGTCATTTTTGCTGTAGTTTGGTATCACAATGTGTTGCTGCTTCAAGAATCTTGTGTTCATCATCATTCTCAAAGTACTGTCCTTGATAGATATAGAAGACAAGGCTTGAGGAGGTAAAGTCTTCTAGTTCCTTGAGACTTTTTGTCTTAAACTCATTTGAGAGTTTTTAAATTGGCGCAGGATAAGGCTTGGGATGAATGGGATTGATGCTAATGATATAATCTGTTGGCTCCACTTCACACTGTTTGCTTCTAGAGATTTGAAGTTCTGCACTAAAAGTGTTGACTTGTTGTTGTAGTTCAAAGACTTTCTTGTATATTTCTTGATGTTCTTGTTCTTGTTAAACTACCTGAATCTCTTCATCAACTGATGTATGAGGTGCTTCAGTATTTCTTTCTGAAGTCAGACTTGGTGATTTTTCATAGGTAGTTTCTTCTACACATGCTTCTTCATTAGATGTTGCGTGTGAGGTGTCAGTTTGTAAGTTACATTTTAGACCCATTGTTATAGGCTTAATGGGCAACCTCTCTTAGAGTGGTTAGAAACTGTGAGGACACTTAGAGTAAATGAACTGAGTATCAAAAGGAAGTATGAGAAGCTCTATAACTAAGATTGTAAAAGGGTAGGTATATAGGCATGATGAGTATTACAGAAGGAAGAGGATAGTGATAGATGAAAATGTATGTAGAGAATTGAATAGTAGCTAACCACTGAATCCCTTCAAGAACTTTGAGGATTCAGGGTGTTTATATACATGAATGAGTAGCAATAGATTTTATCTCTAGTCTTTCATGAAAGAGGGAATTTAGTAATGTAATAGTCTGATTTCTCATGAAGTGCTGATCCTATCCTTCAGGAAGTGCTGATTCTAAAGGACTGATTTTTGAGAAGTGCTGATCTGTGTAAATCTCAAGAGCTGAATCTTGAGATAATGCTGATCCTTTAGAGGTACTGATCCTAAGGTGCTTTAATAAATGGTGTGAGAAGGTAAGCACTTTAGTAAGCAGTGTGGTAAGCAGTGTGAGAGCAAGGAGCTAGTCTAGAGAGTCTTGGCATCACAAAACCTTTATCTAAACTTCAAAAGATATCAATGAACTGTCATTTTTATAGTTAAAAATCTTTATTGATATAGAGAATGTATTTATCAATATTACAGCTGCTTGTATTACTTTATCTCAAAGCTCTCTGATAAGCTTATTATCAAATAGTAGACTTCTTGTCTTATTCATCACTAACTGATTCACACATTCTGCAGAGTTATTTAATTGAAATGTATCTGAAGTTGTCACTTCATATACTATTCTCTTATTCTTGCAAAATACCTTGAGATTATCACTTTTGAACTCTCTGTCATCATCTTAGTGTAGAGTTCCTACAGACTGTTGAAATGTTACTTCAATCATATTAATGAAGCTCATGAGCACTGATGTGATCTCTGCTTTTGTGATAATCAGAATAATTCATCTAAAGTGAGTGATATCATCAGTAGTTCTCATTCAGTATCTTGCATCTTCTTCAGTAAGTAGATTTTCTTTATTATATAGTATTTTCTTCTCTTCTGCAAGGTTTATAAAAAATCTTATTGCTGATTTGACAGCTCTGCTCATTGAGAGAAAAGACAAATAGATCATTTTTACTTGTATATATGTCTTACAGAATAATAAAGTTCTTTAATCTTTTATTCACATTTCTAGTTTAAAATCTACAGTCATTTTTGATATATTCACTGAGTTTAAATAACTTAGCTTTTAATATCACTGTGTCATCATGTATTTCAAAGTCTTGATGTCCTTTTTAAGCAGCTTTATTAAAGAATCATTATTTGATTGCAAGACATATATAGATTCAAAATCATCATTTAATATTATAAAATGAATCAAATCTTTTAATGCCAATGATTTCTTTATCATATAGATATTCTTTTCATTCAAATGTGCTGTGAAATCTATCATTCTATCAGGAGACATCATCAAGATTGAATGATTATTGTCATATATCAATTGTTTGAAAGTATAATCTTTATATATAAGTTTTCTGAGACTTATTAGATTGATCTTCAACTTCAGAATATAATAGATGTCATTCAGTTCAATATCTGATTTCTCAGTTGAGATGTACACTCTCTCTACATCTACTACTAGTATTGTAGATTCATCTGTTATCTTCAATATGACATTCATTCTCTAAGATGCAACCTCAATAATATTCTTTAGAGATGTGATATGAGCTTCTGATTCAGAGTTTAGAACTCAGATATTCTTCATCACTTTATCATTGAAATAAATCATCTCTTTTGCAGAGAATACTTGCTTCACAATTGTAAAGGGTTAAGCTCTAAGAACTAGAGACTAGTCCTCCTATATAACAAGGACGAATTGCTTGAGAAAGGGAAGAAAAGAATGAGATGAGAACACGAGCTTAAGCGAGCTCGCGTAGCATGATCACGTGCGCACGTGCAAACGATGGCTAGGCTGAGTCAGCCAGCCAGAGCGAATCTAGGGGTTCAGCTTCTTATAACAATATTATAAACTGAAGCAGTGCTATTTTTATTCTTGTTCTTATATATATTCTTTGCTTTATGATCTGCAAAGTGTTTTTTCAGATATTTTGTTCAACAGTCAGTCTTGAGATGCTCTGTCTTCTGACAGTTATAGCATATTTTTTTTATATTATTACTATTCTACTTGAACTTTTTATCTTTGTCTTTATCTTTAGTTCTCAAATTCTTATTCTTACTCTTATTCTTTTTTCATGAATCTTGAATATTATTTGTAGAATTTTTTATATTTATCAAGACAGTATTCTGTTCAAAGACTAATAGATGCTATTGAATATCTTAATACAGTCTCATGAAATTTGTCTCAATATTATGAGTGTTGATATATTTTTCAGTATAGTTTATTTTATCTCTAATGAATAATGTCTATTCAGCACTGACATCAGTTAACAAGTGATCAAAAAGAATAAAATCTTTAATTTTATATCTCAAATGAGTATATTCAGTTTGAATGATGATTAGACATTCTATAAAAGCTCTATTTGAGTCTTTCATTTTAGCTGTCAAGCTAATCAATTACTCAAAAAAAACAGATGAAGTAGACTGCAAATCTCTTTGAGAAGTTTTTTTTTTATAATTGTTTATAAAATATATACTGACAACTGATAATTTAAAAATATCATAAAATGAAATCTTACTTATAAGGAGATTAAAGACAATATATAATTATAAAGTCATATTTCTTTTAGTTCAAAAATATTGCATATACATACTGATATCATTCTTCAGAGCAGATTACTTCTTATTGAGAATATCATTGATTTTAAATTACTTAATGATCAATATTATCTCTTTTCTTCACATTGAATAATTTACAGAATTAGTCAAAATGACAAATTTCTTGATATACTTCACTTAATCTCTAAATTCAGTCAAGATCTTCATTATGATAGTAGTTCTATTATTTCTCTGTAGATAGTTTGCAAGATCTTCATTTATTTTATTATTGCTAGTATTGATAATAAATGTCTTTCTACTAGCTCTCATCATTTCAACTTCTTGCTGAAGTTTTGCAATCTCTAATCTCATCAGGATTTCTTCACTAACTTCTGACACCTGGTCACTAGAATCAACTGTATTCTCTGATATTTCATCAACCATATCTTTATATGTATTATTAAACTTGTCTGATTTCTTCAGAATTGTCTTATCTGTTTTAAATGCTTCAGAAGCACTCCTATAGACTGTAATAGATGTAGACAGTGAACCTGTGGGCTCTGGAGTCCTATTCTCTGGTGTTCTATTCTCAGATCCTCAGTTTTGTCTCCTTTTTGGCATGTATTCTTCTGTCAAATCTGGCGTTCCACCCAAACATAGATTGACCATCAATGTCATCCAATTGTTGTTTGCATTTTTCCTCATGTTGTTTGTAGCTGTTCATTCATAGCTGTTCATTCACAGCTTCTCCTCACGTTGTTCGCAGCGAAAGACCTCTAATTTGAGGGGTCTCATAACCTCTTAGAGGACCGTTATCAACCTTGTTGCATTGTGTGACTCTAAGCAAGCTAGCTAGCTACTAATAAATACATAGGTGCACGTGACCTCGGGTAGCCGGGGAATCCTCCAACAGATTTGATCGCTTAATGAGAATTGTCTCGTCAGAATTAGTATCAGCCATAAAGAGGTTGGCAGAGCTTGGCAGGCCTGGGTAGCGAGATAATAAGCGAGCGCATAGTGTCCAGGATTGTTGCCAGCGGTTGGTTGGTGTGGTTTAGTAGTTCGATCAAGAAGACGATTGTTCAACAGCCCGATCAGTAACTTAACTATATGACTATTATTAACTTACCTACAAAGCCTCTGTGGAGTGAAAGAATCTAATAAGAAAAATAATCATGAAGATTCTATACCATCTTCTCAATCTAGTAACAATTCAATTATATGTTTGATAGTGAATTCTTCAAGATGTTTTTTCACTGATAATTTTTTCACAGCATTCTCGATTTTTTCATTTTCAAATTCATAATTCTCATATTCTAAGCTGCCATCATGATTTTTGGATTAGTAATATATTTTAATACAGTATCCAGTCCATCCGATATATAATCTTTATAGTAGTATTTGAATATAATAAAGCGTTGTTGAGAAATTCGTGAATTTTGCAAATTAGTTGAGAAAGTTGGTACAAGTAACTATGCGTTGACTGGCGTGTGTTGACTGGGTTGGATTATGTTGATTGGTGGATTGTGTTAACTACAACCATCAACTCACTCAACTCTCCTTGTTTGAAAGGCCTGTGGCTACCATCCAACACACAAGCCATACAAACCCGCTTCATTGCTTTCCTCTTGCAGTCTGTAAGAGTGAGAGGTAAAAAGCTGCGACGACAATCGAACAAATAAATATTTACCTCTGGAGGTCCTAACTGATCTTCTTCACAATGGCGGACAGCGAGCTTGCGCCCAAGTTCGCCCCATTCTTCGGAATGGTAAGGACGCAATAATCTCCCTTGCTCATACTCCCACCGCCATAGAATTAGCTAGACTAACCAATATATATAGGCAGGCATTGCTTCAGCAGTGAGTTCAATCATATCCAGTTCTGCAACCACCATTCATCCACCGTCCTCTCCCCAGATTAACGGACAAACACTCGAGAAAACCAGCGCTGACGAAATCTCAAAGATGATCTTTGGATGTATGTCACGGGGAAACCCACAACCTCTCCCCCCACCCCCCCTCAACCCGCCCCCATGCCAACCAGATATCCCGAGTCAAACCACATGCACGAACGCGAGCTTGGATTCGGACTCATAAGACTTGAACCGCGATACAGCAATAGGAGCCGCATACGGAACCGCGAAAGCAGGCATCGGCATCGCGGGCGTCGGAACCTTTCGACCAGATCTCATGATGAAGGTATGATTGATATTTGGTTTAACTACGACCAACCTAGCCAGTCAGCTAGAGCTGTCTATTTATTTGTCGTATTCTGCTAACGGGTGTGGAACACGTGTGTGTGTGTGTGTGTGTGTGTGCCTGTTGCTGTTGCTAGTCTTTAATTCCCGTAGTCATGGCGGGTATCATTGCCGTCTACGGCCTGGTCGTCGCAGTGCTTATTGCGGGTGACCTGGCTCCTCCGCCGCAGAAGACATATAGCTTGTTCTCGTATGTATATCGTCAACACTTTATTCGCGGCCCCCCTAATACGCCGCTTTTTTGTTCTATATATGTGTCATCCACATAACTGACCGCGTTGAACTTGTGGTAAATAGTGGCGCCATGCACCTCGCAGCAGGGCTATCCGTTGGTCTAGCGGGACTTTCGGCCGGATATACCATTGGCTTAGTTGGTGATATGGTCAGTCTTGGTGTTTCTAAGGGGGCGACCTTTTTTGTTGGCCTCCTTTCTCCAGCTTGTCACGTATATGATATCTAACATAGAATGGTATCTTCTCAGGGCGTGCGATCATACATGCAGCAGTCGCGGGTTTTCGTCGGGATGGTGTTGATATTGATTTTTGGTGAAGTATTGGGTCTCTACGGGTATGGCTCTCCTCGCTCTCCTCGCCCTCCGACTCCCTCTTCTCATACAGGCAGTCTCCTACTTTTTAAACAGGACGGCATGGATGGAAACTGACCGACTACATGATATTTCGAAACAGATTGATCATCGGGTTGATTCTGAACTCGAAGGCTTAGTTAGTGAAGCGGTGGACATTTATTTTTTCTGTGTTTGTTCTTTGGGCACGCATGATTTATGGAACGGAGCATTTCTGATTTTTACCTCTTTGCTGGGATTGCCATCCTGTTATAATGTATGTATATGCACACATGTTTTCTCGGCATGGATAACACGACAATAAAAGATAGGACCTTGGAATTAACCTTAGAGAGAATTGTTGAGGTTGGAAACGGTTTGTTGAATCCGATTTTCCCTTCTTTCACCCAGTGTATTTTCTACGTCGGCTGAAGCAGGATAGCTATTAGAATTATCCCAAACTATGTGAACGTGAATACAGAGTCCATAAAACATACACCTACTGTGCCTGGCTGAATCCCGATCCCCCCCGTCAGGTACATGAACCTAGCTATCGTTTGTTTTGCTTGGGACCGGATCACCTTTGTTGTTCAGATATTCGACCCTTCTTGGCACCCAGCTCTCTCCCTCGCCTCCAGCCCCGCCTACGTCGGAGAGAGCAGCCCATCATAGCAACATCACAAGCGCTCAAATAGTTACTCCCCTTGCAAAAGCTTTGCCGCCCATCAATTCATTCATCCCGCCCTGTAATTTTCCTGAAGCTTGCATCCACATATATATACACTTCATCATCATCATCATCATCATCGCCACCATCGTATCTCATCTCGTATAGCCCTTCTCTCCCTCCTCACCTCGCCCCTCTGAATAAAGCCCCTTAATCTATCTCCCCTAAATCACCCCTTTGCCACAGACTCAGTCAATGGCGACCATATCATCCGCCATCCCTCTGCGCCGCTTCCATTTACTCCCATCGCCGATTTGAATTCCACCCCTCCCCCAACGTCCACCCACTTGCCTCCCCCCCTCCCTCTCCCTCTTCATCCGTGGTTTTAGCTGCTCAACTTTCCACCCGCAGTCGAGCCAAGTGCAGGTTAGGATAGGTCAGCTTAGCTTAGCTTACAAAAGTCAGGGTCTAGCCTCCCCAAGCCATCCATGACCCCTCGCCTTTCCTGATGGCCGCGGAAACGATACAAGGGCAGTCATCAACATCCTACCGGCCAGAAACTGATGTACCCGCCGAGTCAACGCGCGATATCGACACGGTGAATAAGAAGCAGCAGCAACACCAACAACAGCCCCAGAAGAAGAGTAACGCTGAGAAGCCAAATAGCCTGGATCTGAGCCTGGGCCTGGATCTGGCCTGTCCCGCATCGCGCCCGGAAACCCCGCAAGACATCCTTGAGAATCGGGAGAGGATTCGACAACGGCTACCTGCGGAGCGGCTGAGCATTGATGATTTTGACCTTCTCGAAACTGTAGGGACAGGTAAGCTGATCTCTCCTTTGTTTATATGCAGGGGTTTCTAGCCCAGCATGGATGATGATGGATGTTGATATGTTAATAATTGAAAACCAAATAGGTACATTTGCTCGAGTTTGGCTGGCTCGGTGGGCGAAGAGGAAAGAAGGCCAGGATGGAGTATATGCGATTAAGATTTTGCATAAGGCGGACGGTGTGTAGATATCTCCCTTCTTTTCACCGTTGTCTCAGCGGGCATTTACTGATTCGTGTTTTTCACTCGATTGGCAGTAATCAAACTAAAACAGGTTGAGCATGTGCGGAATGAAGTCAGAACCCTTGCTGCGGTTTCTGGCCACCCGTTTATCATTTCCCTTATTTCCACTTTCTCCGACGATCAAAATTTATACATGTTGGTAAGTCTTATTTCCACAGGAAGATATAATAGGTCTCCAAAATATTCACACTTCCATCCGCAACGCCTAACATACAAACAGCTAGACTACTGCCCAGGCGGCGAAGTCTTCACATTTCTCCGCCGCGCCCGCTGCTTCAGCGAGCGAACCTCCCAATTCTACGCCGCCGAAATCGTCCTAATCCTCGAATTCCTCCACGAAGTCCACGGCGTCGCATACCGCGACCTCAAGCCCGAAAACATCCTCCTAGACGCAGAGGGCCACCTCAAACTCGTCGACTTCGGCTTCGCCAAACAACTCTGGAGCAGAGAAACATACACCCTCTGCGGCACCCCAGAATACCTTGCACCAGAAGTCATCCACAACAGCGGCCACGGCCTAGCGGTTGACTGGTGGGCTCTAGGCGTCCTTATATATGAGTTCATAGTCGGACAGCCACCATTCTGGGACCAGAATCCCATGCGCATATACGAGCAGATCGTTCAGGGACGTCTGCGGTTCCCCGTAAACATGCCCCCCGCCGTCCGCGATATTGTGTCCCAGCTCTGCACGACGAACCCTTCGGAGCGGCTAGGGTATATCAAAGGTGGTGCAGCGCGAGTGAAGCAGCACCCGTTTTTCAAGGATATCAATTGGGATGACATTTATTTTCGGCGGACCAAGGGGCCTATAGTCCCCAGGGTGGATTCGCCGACTGACACGGGCAATTTTGAGGAATACCCGGACGAGCCGGATTCGTCGTTGCTTACACCCTATACGAAGGAGATGCGAGAGAAGCATGATGATATGTTTGCAGATTTTTGAGGGGGTTCCTAATTTACGCATTGAATGTTTACGTATGTTGTTTATGAAGGTCCCTAGCTATCTAAAAGTATCTCAGATATGCACAATACCCAATCAGAACTTCATTCCTGCCCCAGCCGTTGATATGCGGAAGGACTCCTAATGGCTAGGTACATGTATGTATGTATGTATGCACTCCGCGGATGTTTGTTAAAAAAATCCATGGAACGACTCCCGTCCGATTTAAAGCACTGCTCTAAATAGAGCGGCTGTCATGCATGTGCAACTATAGCTCCCAGTGGGAAGTCGGTCGGATATTTAGTTATATCTCAAGCATAAAATCTGCTTCAGTAGTTCTTCCTGAGGGAAGAAAAGTGCTCAGCTCCAGCAGTGTGTCACCGCAACAACAACAGCCTTGATGGAGCGACGAGTGGATCGGCCTTCGGCGAAGGGCGATAGCATCCGCAAACCTTGGACTTCGCTCGTAGTTAAAAAGGCGGAAGACGCGCCGAGAGTTTTTTTTTTTTTTTTTTTTTTTTTTTTTTTTCAAGAGTTCAAAAAATCCGTGTTCGATAGATAACAATTTTTGGCGTGCGGCTGTGCTGTGTGCAGAGAGATGAGGCCTGGAAATTGAGTAAATAGGGGAGAAGCTTCCTCATCTTAGGGGGCGCATTGAAGGAATAACTTCTGACGAGATGGCTTTCAGCATTCAGCTTCTCGTGAGAAAGGGGCTCTTGCAGGTTGCTTTTGCGACCTGTCTTTTTGATACTAGCATCGATTATTCGAAGGAGATTTGCTGAGAATGAACACGGCGCCGATAAGATTCTCAGAACGTAAAATGGAGGTAATGGATCCTATGATATGCTGTTTATTTTTGTTTTCATTTATTTATTTTAATTTTGTTTTTTGAGGAGGACAGTAAGCCCTCCTTTTAATTTAGCAGGCGCTGTAAAATGGCTACAAAAAACCATCAGTTTCAGCTTCTGGCTGTGTCACATCATCATATGGAGTATCTAATCAGTGGAATGAAAAATTGAGATGAATTGAAAAATAGATGTCTGAGAGAAGATAAAACAAAATGGTATGTTTATTATGAGTAGTTTTATCCTCATGAGCAGTTAAGTAGTTGTACAGTTTCAGAACTCACGAGTGAATAATTCAGTTTTACTTCTGACATATCAGCTGAGTGAATGAGGATGAAAACAAAGATTAAAAGATCAGATAACATCGTCAGTATGAGAAAACTAATTGAAGCAATTTTTCCAGTTTTTCTGTTTGATTGACACAAACTACTCCTCTATGTCCAACACCCCTTTACACCCTAATATATGCAGGTCATGGCTGAGAAAACAGACCATCAGAAGCAAACGTAGCTGAGTATATCTATAAAGCATTAAATGATTCTAATATTTCTTTCCTTCTTCTTTGATTTTATATATATATATCTTCAATTTATTTTATCTTCTCGATGATGGTAAGAACAAACTCATCTCAACTATATATTTTATTCATTTAAAATACATAACAGATGCCAAAGGAGATTTGCATCAATACAAAAAAAAAAAAGACACAAAAATGGAAATATACGAAACACAATTAACTCCAAAAAGTCTCCAACCAACCAAGTAAGACGGAAGCCTAGCCCTGAAAGAACTCCCCCTCCATTTCTATATTAATTTTATTTTACAGGACAGATAAGGTAAATGAAAATGAAGATGCAGGTGAAAATGCAGGCGGATGGGTTTTTCTTCGCAAAAGGTCAAATGAAGCTGAAGAATTTTCTTCTGCTGGATCATCGTTCCTCTGCTGCGGGATTGATGCGATGCCGGGGTGTGGGCGGAGGTGGATGGTGGGATTGGAGGTGGAATTGGGTAAGGTGAAAGGTTGAGCGGTGGATTATATGTGGAGCGAAAAAGGAAGAAGGGAGAAGGGAGGCAGAGAGTTTGAGGAGAGAGAGGGGAGTGTTAAAAAATTTTATGCCAGACTGTTCTATATACAGTCCCCACATGGTTAGATGTAGTTGGCTGGTTGGTATCTTTTCCTCATTTGCTCCGAAGGACTCAAAGGTAGGATGACGTCAATGATGGTGTGTAACTCCCAGGGAGAAACAGTAGGTAGAGTGGAGATGTAGGGGTATTTTGCGTTTATGCAGCGGGTAAGGGTAACATTGATTCCGGGATTACGCAGTCCTATTCCTCGAGAACGACGGGTGCTGGGCGGCCCGCCTCTTCGCTCTTCCAGGATCCTGAGATTTATGTTAGAACGGGCTATTGCAAATGGGGGTGACTTCCCAAAAAAAAAAATTATAATAATAAATAAAGAAAATAAAGAAGAAAAAAAAAGGAAAAAGAAAAGCAAAGAAGAAAAGAAGAGAGAGAGAGAGAGAGAGAGAGAGAGAGAGAGAGAGAGAGAGAGAAACAAGATATATATACACACCTGAAAAATGATGTTTAACAAACGCCATAGGATCATCCGCGCCCCCAGCCCCCATATGCCCAACACCTGGACTGAAGCTCGTGATCGGCAAGACAACCACATCCCCCAACTGCCTGTGCTCCTTCACGCCCGAAAAGTCATGCGCAGTCAAATTCCTTCCATTAGGCGGCTGCGCCGTCTCAAAATAAAGCGGGTTATTAAAATACCGAAAGATCGCATCCGTCCACACCGCCGGCCCCGTAAACTCCATAACCGACTTATCCATCATACCCCGGATCAGGATCCCTGCCTCCTTCATCCGCAGCGCATCCTCTGTTATCGTGGCGACCACGTCGCGGAGTACAGGGTGGCCCGGCTTGGCTTGAATAGTCCACTGGCAGAACTGCAGGCGGCGCGAGAACCATTGTGCCCAGTCCTCGCGGTCCGTATCGGCTTCTATGCCCACTACGAGGCCGACGGTGGACCTGTTGATGTGCCGGGGTAGCCATTCGTCAGCGGGCTTGAGGACGTAGGTGTCTATATCGCTATATATGCCGCCGCGGGCGAGGAGGATGAGGTAGCGGAAGAAATCTGCTTTGAGCACGGGGAGGGGCAGGGAGCGGTATGTTTCTATGATTTCTGGGAAGGGGGCGTAGAGGTAGCGGAGGAGAGGGTCCATGTCGTCATCAGTTATGACTTGGTGGATGAAGGTTGGGTGGGCTATGGTCCAGGAGGCTTCGTTGGTTCGGAAATGCTCGTAGAAGTCAGGGGAAGCGGGGGTGTTTTTCCATGTTTGCCAGATGTAGGCGGGGAATTTGGAGGGGAGGTCGTAGGGGAATTGGTAGCGGAGACGGTCGCGGAGGGTTTTCCTGGCGAGGTCGGGGGAGTGGGGAAGGGATTTGGGGGGTTGGTTTAGTTCTGCAGAGGATGGGCTCTTTTCTTGTTGGTTTTGTTTTCGATTGGGGATTGGTTTTGAAGATGTGTGTGAGGGTTTGAGAGGTTTGGCGGAGTGTGAGGAGTGGAGGAGGAGGATGCAGGAGAGGAGGAAGAGGGCGGCGACTAGGGATCTTCGAAAAGTGATCATGGTGCTTGGAATCGAGCGGTGGGGGAGCTCTCGTTGACCATTCGGGCTGGATATATAAAGGAAATCCTGTGGCCGGAAAACTGGGCTTATTGGGGCTGGCGACGGCTTAGATGGATCCAAGGTTCAGTCCAAGCTAAATAGGGTGGGAAGGAAAAGTATATGATGCATGTACGCACTTGCACAGCATCGACTGGGAGGATTGAATGTCCTCTCAAGATTGGCTGAGCATAGCGTTGATGGGCACAAGCGTTGGCTCTCGGGAGGAGAGGCGAGGGGAGGGGAGGAGGGAGAAGGGAGGGAGGAGTAATTCGGCTGGGATCTGTGGTTGAGTCAGGCGCAGCAGGAAGCTTACAGCAAACATCACAGACGGCATATCCAGAAGAAGCTGTCAGCCTTGACTTCTTCCACGGGCGAAACAAACAAAGAGGAGGTGTGACAAGGGGAACTCAGGAGAGGTTGGGTAATAATGGCTGTAAGTTGGTTGTTGTTGTTGTTGTTGTTGTAGAGGAGGAGGAGGAGGAGGAGGAAAAGAGCTCAGTGCTTGAGTGCACATTACGTCGTTCATCCCTTCGCCAGTTGAACTGCCTGCTCCCACCGCCCACCTGGCTGCTTGCTCCGTACATGCGCACGACCACACAGTCGTCTCTATATATATACACACAAACACAGACACACACAATCTACATATATCCATGACATATGGGATACGCTAATTATGCAATCCACGGATTGCAAGGGTTAGCAGTCGCCTACAGTCGCCGCTTGCCTCCGCCGCTAGTTTGCTTCTGGCCTAGCGGCCGCCTGCAACAAGAGATCTCGGCAGCTTCTTCTGGTTAGCGGGGAGGTGAAAAAGCCTGGTGATCGATCTCTGGGCGTGGGGTCGAGCCTCTGCCGCGCGCACACACACACACACATTGCATCGTAAGATATGTATGTTTTACCGGAGTTATAGGGAATACAGGGGATGGGCGGCTATTTCTTGCATTATCTCATGCAGGTCAGATTCGATAGAATATCGATTCAATGCAGTGAAAATTCAGATTTCACACGTGTCAGTGCGGCAGTGAGTTATGCTTCGTGAATGACGGAGTAGAAAAGGATTGAGAAAGAAGTTTGCAGATAAACTTAACTATGAGGGGAAATAAATCACTCATCCAGATGCATCTTTCACATATTACCGAGTATTATTCTTAGTTTTTTGTTCCGTGTGAATCAGACAAAACCTTGGATCTTCAAGCTAACGCTTCGAATTAACTCCGTTGATACTTAGTTTGGAGGGCATTTTATTTTATTTTGAATTATTCATTGCAGGCACTTTCCGGATTATCCCGTGCATCCACTCATGAATGGTTTGTACTGCCTCCCTGTATTGAATGAAGCCAGAGATCAACAGATCCATTTTTATGAACTGAACTCTGCTGTCGATGAGCATGTTGATAACAACCACTCGTAGATTAATTTTTCAGCAGCAACTAAATTCAAAGCAGTAGAGTGCACATTGAATGGACTGACTGCTCTTTTATCTCTACTCAATATCCTTCATCTTAAAGGTGACTATAACTCTATCATTTAAAGGTGAATGAATATAACAATATTTTTGATCTGTATCTTTTCTCCCCTCGCATCAATCACATGGTGTTCAGTTTCCCTCCTCGCTCACCGCCTTTGCCCTCCCCCCAATACCAGCCCAGCAAGATGATGCAATGGATGCCAGGGGAGTTCGCTTGCGGCAGAATAATAATATTTACCTTAACGATTTAGTCAGAGTCTCCACATTCTCGCCTTTCTTTCAACATCTTCAAACATTCTCTTGTGCGCGATTACAGTGGGTGACCGTTTATAAATGCTCGAGTTGATCGCGATGTTTGCCGCTGTTCAGGCATTGAAATTCGGGTGAAGAAAGAAAATGGACGTCCTCTCGTTATAGATCTGCTCTCTGCTCTTCTGCTCCTCTGCTCCTTTCAACAATGGCTGTCAGCGCAAGAGGAGCTCTGGCGGCAGCCAGATTTGCTGCATGGAGACCAACAATTGCTCAAAATCACTGCGCGCGGGCATCTACACTCCTTAAAACATCACATTATCATAACCCCACGTTGCTGGCTTCTCTCCCGGCTACAGTCCGGTCTATCCATGCACAAACTCACCCAAGGACCCAAGCAGCGACCGCCACAACCACCGCCTCCTCATCCTCTCCCTCCACTTTAGCACCAGCGGACGGAGCCGCTTCCCAAAGTCCACAAACCAAAGGCTCCTCGAACCCCGCCCTCTCATTCCCCTGCCTTGACGCCCTCGATGCCAAATCATCTTCTCTCCTCGCAAGATCCCTAACCTCCGGCCCAGAACCCTCCTACACATCCGGCCACCACGAAAAGTTCAAATCCACCGATCCCCTCCTCCTCGACTGGGGCGGCGTCCTCCCCGAATTCACGATCGCCTACGAAACCTGGGGCACTCTAAACAGCGACAAATCCAACGCCATCCTCCTCCACACAGGCCTTTCCGCCTCCTCCCACGCCCACAGCACCCCCGCAAACCCCAAACGAGGCTGGTGGGAACGCTTCATTGGCCCCAACGCCCCTCTCGACACTGACAAATACTTCATCATCTGCACAAACGTCATCGGTGGCTGTTACGGCAGCACAGGGCCTTCCTCCATCGACCCCTCCGACGGCAAACGCTACGCAACCCGCTTCCCCATCCTCACCCTCGAAGACATGGTGCGCGCCCAATTCCGCCTCCTCGACTCGCTGGGCATCTCCACCCTGGCCGCCTCCGTCGGCTCCAGCATGGGCGGCATGCAATCGCTCGCTGCAGGCATCCTATTCCCGCACCGCGTGCGCAAAATAGTCTCCATCAGCGGCTGCGCGCGCAGCCACCCGTACAGCATCGCCATGCGCCACACCCAGCGCCAAGTGCTCATGATGGATCCCAAGTGGGCGCGGGGGTTCTACTACGACTCCGTCCCGCCGCATTCAGGCGTGAAGCTGGCGCGCGAGATTGCGACGGTGACGTATCGCAGTGGACCGGAGTGGGAGAAGCGGTTTGGTCGCAAGCGGGCGGATCCCAGTAAGCCGCCGGCCCTGTGTCCGGATTTCCTCATCGAGACGTACCTCGACCATGCCGGGGAGAAGTTCTCGCTCGACTACGATCCGAACAGTTTGCTGTATGTGTCTAAGGCGATGGACTTGTTTGATCTGGGCCGCGAGCAACAGAAGGCTACGGCGGCGAGGAGGGCGGAGACGGCGAAGCGCATTGCAGCTGTGGGGGGTGAGGTTAGGCCGATTCTTAGGGATCCGACCTGTAGTCTTACGTTGCCTGCGCAGCCGTATGAGGAGCAACCGTCGCCGCCACCGTCATCGTCGTCGTCGTCGTCGTCGCAGGGTGTAAATAGTAATGATTCCTCGGTAACTCCTCAGTCTGAATCCGCCTCCCAAGCCACGTCCCAGCAACCCCCCCCAACAGACCTCATTCTAGGCCTCTCCCCATTAAAAGACCACCCCATCCTCGTCATGGGCGTGGCCAGTGACATTCTATTCCCAGCATGGCAGCAGCGGGAGATCGCTCAGGCGCTGCAGGCCGTGGGAAGTTCGCGGGTAGAACATGTTGAGTTAGGCGAGGACATATCGCTCTTCGGACATGATACGTTTTTGTTGGATCTGGAGAATATTGGAGGGAGGGTGGGAAGGTTTTTGGGCTGACGTGGTTGAATTTCAGGGGGTTTTGTATGTATGTATTCTCGTGCATGTTTTGCATATGTTTGAATGTGTGTTTCATATTTTGTATCTCTATTTGATCGGGGTCTTTTTTATATATCAATGGTTAGTTATGCTTTGCTTAAGAAACATACTCCTCGTATGCGCCGGAAAATTTGGTAATCTACCGCAACGGAAAACAATTTGGGATATACGTGCAAGAAAGGACGCCCTGATACGATACCATGTAACTACAAATTACGCAGGAGATATTCCAACTAGAGGATGCCTTCCAACATCTGAGAATATTATCAGTTACCTGCTTCAACTCGACGTCTACAGTTATCTATTGCTATGGAATCGTCCTTGGCACGGTATAGCTTTTGGCGAAGACCATGTAATTAGGTTAGAGGTGGTTACATGAAGTTCAGCAAAAGCGCCAGAAGAATACAAGGCATAGAGGGGAAGGTGACATATGTTCATTGGGGTCATAGAAGCGTTAAGCCTAGAAAGACTTGTCGAGATCGCGCATCCCACAGTTGAAATGATCGGGATTGTTGAGCTTCATGTTGAAGGACCAAGGACGGGGATTTGAAGAATAATAGATGTACCAAAAAAAAAAAAAAAAAAAAAAAGAACAGAAAAAAAGAAAGTTGCGAAAGTCCTCAGATTAGCTCTCAAGTTCTCATAGATTTCCATGCAGTATAAAAAGGTGAAGCAAAACATTCTCGCGAGAAAATGAACCGCAAGCGCCTTTTTCCGCGGGATATCCTGCAACTTTGCCGATGTTTGACAGACATCACTTTGTCAATCTCGTCATTGAACCTTCGACTTTTTCTTTTTTCCTTTTTTCAATTTTTTCCAACGGGAACTTTTTTTTTTTTAGAAGGGGGAGATATTTTTTTTTGGTAGTTTTCAATACGCCGCCCATCTTCGCAGGAAGACAGGATAAGGGGAAAAAAAGTAAAGACTGCTGTCTTGCCGATTAGCCCACAGCGCCAATAGCTCGCAAAGCCAACAACCCACAAGCCCATAGCCCACATAAAATCCATCGGCAGTTCGACTGCAGTGCTTAACCGTTCACCCCTTTGGGTCCAGCGTGTGCCATTTGTGGCTAGGCAGGCAGTAACACCTGATGCCGGCGCCGCAACCTTTTCAAGCAGAACCGTTATAGCTCTTCGGTTAGAAGCAACAGTCTGAGTGGTAGGTGGGCCAAGCCGGCCAGGTCGACCAAACTCACATGCAAGCGGGGCAACATGTACTTAGATACCCAAGTAATATATATCTGCGCAATTGCAACGTGCAGAGCGTTTTAACGCCAGTTCGATCCTCTTAACCAAAAATCCAAACCCAAACTTGAGTTCTGCGACTAAACCCACGTGTAAGGGGACGAATGTGTTTGGGTACCGAGAAAATGTGCCATTCACAATTACGATGTGCTAGGGTGCGAAGACCGCGAGGTCTTCGTACCAGTTTGGTTCTCCATACGCCATACTTCAGATTCAAGTATTGATTTTTGGCGACTGGTATATCCAATTACGCCAACTGCCTGAGGATCATGCCGTTCCATTTAGAGTTACGTTACTCCGACGAAAAGTTGCAGCTGTCGTTCTGGAGATTTGCACGTTTACCCTTGGAACGCAATGTAAATTCACACTCATTGACAGGAAGCGACCGGGAGGTCCCGGAATGGCTCACAATCTATTTCTTCAAAGTCATCTGTGTCATCAGAGTCATCTATTTTCACCCTGGTTTGTGATTGGGCAAGAAAGGTTCGGGCCATACGAGCCAGCGTCGCAGAAAGATTTCGTGTCACGCCGTAAACTGGCTTGCAATTTAATGCACTCTCATCAAACGTCAGGATGACAAGAAACCAGGATGGAATCCGCGTCAACTTTCTTTCCACATTCGGTTCATCCGCCCAACATCTCAGCGCCACAAGGTCATGTCAACCACGGGTGCGGAACGTTTTCGGCCAGGCGTTGTGATCCCATGACACCAAGTCTGGTCTCAGAAGGGCGATGATACGCTAAATCGGAAGCAGGGACGACTTTGTGAGTAACGGTCATGTTTGGTTAAGCGGTGAACTGATGCGCACACTTAATCGAACTGCAGAGTGTTACGGTCAGCTGAAGTTACCATACACCTAGGCGCATATTGAATCCCTTCTTCTCAGTATCAGATTGAAAACTACAATAAATCTTATACTCCTCATAGGAAATTCTCAACGTCGTTACCATCTCAAAGGCAAACATACGGAGCACAGGTTGGCAATTTTCGTCCAATCCGTCCTCGGAGTATGCACTTTTATTGTCATCATGGAGTACGGGGATAGTGATGTTCAATGATCGGCGACGTAACGTACCTCCCTTGACCGGGCTCATACCCAGGAAAACTCCGCACGATATCGAAAGGTCAGTTTAATCTGGCTCCCCGGGCGGGAAGGCTGAGGACGATTTCCTGAAGTTCCCTGCTAGAAGAGCCGCTGATAAGAGGTCAGCCAACAGTAAACCAGCATAATAGTCAAATACATATGCCTCTAAGATCTCTGTTCATCATCAATCACTGCTGTACTGTCTTGTAACTGCCTCTTCCACCTGGTGTTGTGACCTAAATCAAACAAAACACTCAAGGGATGAAGTCGAAGCGGTGAAGCGAGAAAGCACAGCTCATGATAGCTCGATGTGAGAGGTATCATCATTGAGACACGCGCAAGAATAGAAAAACAGAATAGAAAATAGTTACTCACTTCAATAAGACAAATATCAGCAGCCAACAAGCCTGAAAGAAGGGTTATGCTCACCTATCGCGGGTTGCCTGGAGAGAGACAGAAAGGAGAAGAGGTAGTCGACGAGGCTGAAGTTGAGAGACGTTGGAACCACCGGCTGGCTAATGCTACTGGAACGACTGACTGTCTTGGCAGCTATCTGGTTACTGGGGGAAATTATGCTGGGGCGTATAATGGGAAGCTAACTAGCGAGAGTGGTAAGCACGTGATTGAAATTATCTAATCAATATCACAAACATCCGTGACGTCGGGCAGGGAATGCGATCAACTATAAAAAAGGCTTCTTTTCGCGGACTGCAAAATAAAAGAGGAGGTTAATTCAATTAGTTTCACACTACTGTATTTCAAATATTTCAAGATGAGGGGGTTCGTTGACTGCCCATAGCGATGGATGATCGATTCCAGAGATCACGGTCAGATTCAGGTTACTACAACGGAAACGGCTTAAACGGCTACGAAGATAGCGACGAGAGCTATCCCTCCGACGGCGAGCAGACTCATAAGCAAGAAGAAACACCACAGAAGCGAGAAACAATGTCGGCCTGGATTCAACGGCAGACAAACTCGCCCTATGTGCAGTTGGCCGGCGCTGCTGTTCTCTCAGGCGCCGCAGTTGCCGGTGCCATCCTTCGCTATCAGTCCCTGAAGAGACAAGCCGCCATACAAAAATTGAAGGCGTCGATACCGGACTCTGACGAACAGAATACGGTGCAGAAGGTGTGGTTGCCTTGGGTGTTTTAAATTGCAGTTGTTTAAGTACATGATACGGCTTATGGCGCCCTGTGATATATGCCAGACTGACCGGAGGAAGTGAAGCTCACAGAATTCGGACTAGCAACGCCCTCGACGCTGAGTAAAGAAGACAAACGAGGTGCTGCTCTTGCTCGCAGAGCCCAACGTGGGGACTACGATGATGGTACGCAGCTCCTCTTGTTAGCTTTCCTGCTCAAGAAGGACTGATCGCTTTTCTAATCTTTTTGTTGTAATTCATAGATTTAATACTCGAACAACTTGCCCGCAACCGCGTCTTCCTTACCAACGAAGGGCTCACAAAACTGCTGTCTTCCTTCGTAATAATAGTGGGATGCGGCGGCGTTGGCTCCCACGCTGCTGCCTCTCTGGCGCGCTCTGGCGTATCGCGCATACGTCTCGTGGACTTTGATCAGGTTACCCTTTCATCACTTAATCGACATGCACTTGCTACCCTCTCGGACGTTGGCACCCCAAAAGTCCACTGTATCCGGAAGCGACTGGAGCAAATAGTACCATGGGTGCGCTTTGACTGCCGGGATGAACTATACAGCGAATCCGCGGCAGATACTCTTTTAGGCCCTTGGAATTTGAAGGGCGACAAAGAAACCCGGAAACCAGATTTTGTTCTGGACTGCATTGATAATATTTCCTCCAAGGTTTCTCTCCTTCACTACTGCCATTCCCACAATATTCCGGTCATATCTTCCATGGGCGCGGGGTGTAAATCTGATCCCACTCGGATCACTGTTGGTGATATCTCTACAAGTGCTGAAGATCCCCTTTCCCGAAGTACCCGTCGTCGCTTGAAGGCCCTGGGAGTTAGCTCCGGTATTCCAGCAGTTTTCTCCACCGAAAAACCAGGGCCTGGAAAGGCGTCGTTACTCCCACTCCCTGATGACGAGTTTGCCAAAGGTGAGGTAGGGGAGCTTGGCGTTCTTCCCGACTTCCGTGTGCGAATACTTCCCGTTATCGGCACAATGCCAGCCGTGTTCGGCTATATCCTCGCCAACCATGTCATCTGTGACTTATCAGGATATCCTAACGAGTACAACGCAGGAGCCAAGGGCCGAGAAAAGATGTATGATAGCATCTTAGGAGGCCTGCAGGGGATGGAAGAACGCCTAGCTAAGTTCGAACTCGGTTATGATCCGGTCGGATTACGGGTACCAATCAACAAAGATGACGTTGCTTACCTGATTGAAGAGGTATGGAGAGGGAAAAGTGTCGTTACGGGTCTGACTACGCGGCTAATGTTGTTACGTTGGAAGCGCCCGGAGAATGGATTCGGGCCCGATCCTTTCTGGGAGAAGGAAGGACAGAGGAGTACGCGGCTTGATTTGAAAGAACTGGTTTGCATGACGAAGGAGGAAGCGCTGCGGCATGAGCGGGAGGTTCTGAAGGGCGGTAAAGCTGTTGAAGATCTGTACGATGAGAAAGTCATTAGAAAGGTGGAGGAGCGGATACGTGAGCAAGAAGCGTATGAAAGGTATCGATAGCCTTTACTCTGGTTTCATATATATATAAACAGGGAGAGCACATATCTAAAAGAAATATTTTTGTTCCTCTTTAACTTATCACACAAAAATTTAGCCATGATATTTATCTAAATATCCCACATACGGAAATGGTATTCTATATGGGTCTCATTCACGGAGTATGGGCAAGAACCGTAAAAAAGCGGGAGGTACCTGATCCATGAATGCGAAGTGGATCCTCCCGCTGCCGTCGCCAGAATCATCGATTCACATTCTTCGTAGATAGTTGGACCGAAACACGCGCTCATACTCAGGGCCTGAATGTTATTGTGGATACGGTATCCCTCGAAGGGCATATCCATGGTTACTCGGCTCCTTTTCTCACCGAAGATCCCAGATCCCAGATCTCCACACACTTTTCCTCTGTGACGACTAGTATGTTCAAAGCTTTTGTTAGACTTCTAACAGCAAAGATGGAGGATGTAAAATCATTGATGCGCTAAATATGATGTTTACATTTCGAGAAGAGACCAGACTCAAGCAGAGAACAACAAGGAGACTAAATATCCATTTCCTGGAGATGGAGATAATTTATAACAGAAACATCACCCGCGGATTGATCCCAAATTTTTTTTCCCTTTCATGTTTGAACCTCGCTGCAATGTCTATCAAATTCGTCCTTGAGAATAGACCCTCGATATGAGGCTATGCATTTAACCTGAAGAAAACTGGTGTTAATTTGCAGATACTGAGAGGATAATAGCGATGTTAGCCTCTTGGGAGAGAAACTGGGAAATATTTTATTTAGGTTGAATGGACGGCGTTTTTCCTACACCCACACATCCGCGAGCCCACACCGGTTCTCGAAATACAAATCCCAACCCGAACACAATTTCGGCTGTGAAACCCATATCATAAATTCGGGCACGTCAGAGCAATGACGCACCCAGAGAAGACATATCCCCAGCCCCCCTCCCGAGCCGATTCTGCTTGGTACAATGTTGGCATCAGAAACCTCGACGGCCGAGTATCTTCCTCATACCCTCAAAAACCCAAAGGCCCTCTCATCAATTACGTGACAAATGCCTGGATGGCCTCAGTTCCCAAATACAGCAAGTCCGGGACAAATATGAAGGCCGACTGTCCCAGCAAATGGCCTGCACGCACCAGTGACCTCCGCAAGCTAGCTACCGCCCCGCGATTCCGTCGTTATATCATCGTCTATTTCATTTTGCTATGGATATTTCTGGGTAGCTGGTTAGGATTTTTTTGGCCTCGTTTAAAAGAGAACAGTCAACTCTTAGACTCACTCTCCTTGATGACAAAAGAGAGGATGGGAGGTTGGTTTGGTTCGAATTCCATGCCCAAGTTCAATGACTTGGTTTATATAAGATCGCTGGACCCAACACTGCTACCCAGTGATGGAAAAACAACCCCGGACAACCCGCATCGTAAACGTCTAATCGTCTTGGGCGATGTCCATGGGTGCCTCGACGAATGTAAGGCATATATATGCATTCCCCATATGCTATATACACCAAATTTTGTTCCTTTCCGTTAAAAAAAGGGTTTACTCTGTTCTAACCCAAAACTTCTCTTATACACGCAGTGGAAAACCTTCTACGAAAAGTAGCCTTCGATCCCAAACAAGGAGACCATTTGATCTTCACAGGCGATCTGATCGCTAGGGGCCCCAAGAGTATTGGAGTTGTTGACCTTGCACGCAAATACGGCTCATCCTGTGTCCGAGGAAATAATGAAGATCGTACCCTACTCACCCGCCGCGATATCAAGGGTGTATCGTCAAACAGGAAGAGTCGTTCCATGAGTAACAATGAATTAGGTAAAGCCAGTGAAGACATAAATAGTTCCAAGAACCGCGCTCTTGCGGCCGAATTGAGCGATGAGCAAGCGGAGTGGCTGGATACGTGTCCAGTGATTTTGAAGGTTGGATCTATCAAAGGCATGGACGACGTCGTAGTCGTGCACGGTGGTCTCGTACCTGGCCTAGAACTGGAGAAACAAGATCCCACTGCCGTCATGTCTATGCGGACTATTGATTTTTTGAGCCATGCTCCCAGTTCGTCATCCGATGGCGTGCCCTGGACAAAGGTGCGTGTCAACTGTTCTCTTCATCTTGTCTAACTCCGTTTCCTCTGTGGACTCTTCAACCCTGGTTACCTAACCACCCACTTCCCTTCGAACAAATTGGGTTGACAATTCAATAAGTACTTAGCTCTTCAATAAATATCAAACCATGTTGGCTCGAGCCCGAAATTTGGCCCCGCCAGAAGAAAGCCTGCGCTATGCACGCCCAACAACTGTATTATATGGCCACCAGCCGCACAGTTCTCCGTTGCTGAAAAAGTACACCAAAGGATTAGACACCAACTGTGTCAGAGGTGGGAAACTTTCTGCAATGATCATCGAGGATGGCGGTATTACCAGCATCCAGAGCGTGAGGTGCAAAAATTATATGACAAAAATGAACCGACTAACGGACTGTATCAATCGCTTTTTAAAACTGTTGTAATTGTTCTTTTCGATTATCCTCTTCCTGTTTGGAGAACGTTCATCATACCCTTTCAAGTCCTTACTTCTTTTGCTTGCTTTATTTAGTCCTCCAGTTTCTCACCGCGCTGAATTCCCCACGGATAACATACTCTTCTATATACCTGCTGGGTGTTCCTGCATAATTTCTTATTATTTCCGAGTATGCCCTACACATATATTCGTCATCATTCTCTACGCATGCATTTGTAGTTAATTTGGTACCAATTATAGGCGTTAATGGTGCATCTGTTTTAGAACATTTTTACTCCATTCTCGTACTCGTTTCATTTTCCTTTTTGTCTATTCCTCTTATTAACTGGATTTGGATGCTTTGGCAGTTTCAGATGCAAAGTCACATAATGTACATAGGTGTCGGTTTTGTTACTCACTGGGGATATGCAGCTCTTCGAACTTGTTTTCGAAGGCATGTGACATGGCATGTACATGTAGAGTGCATTTCCAGAATATTGACTGTTTCTCTAGACAGAACCTTCGCTGGTCTTGCCTTTTTATATCAACGATTAATTTCGTCACTCATCGTGCAGTCTAATCAATCTGTACGTCCAAAGAACCATCTACATGTCTGTCTTGATTGAGGTTTTCCATTCAAACGCCGAATATAGGCTCTTCTGCCAAATTGTGCATCTTCTCCCTATGGCATGTCACTTTTATTGCATTTCCTTCCTTTTCACCAAATTTAGATGCTTGTCGGAATAAAAAACACCAATCCCTTTTTGGTTGGTCCTTGGAAGATTGAGGTTCCTTGAATCGAGTATGATGGCAACATGGTCGATCGCCAAAGCAGAAGATAGGTTTCATGCCGCAGTAATGGCATGTAATCAGCATCCGGACACCTCTGACAGTCCCATTTTTGTACTAATCTCCAACCAGCCCTACATATCATATCCACATCTCACTTCGGATGTCGAACATTGGGGATAGCCAAACACCTTGGAGATGGGCCCAGGGATATTATCCTTACCGAATAATAGTAACATCTTTCCACCAGGGTTTCGTAAACTCCTCACAACTACACAGGGAGATATTCGAAGCTTAATGCAGCTATGTGACCTCCGTTGGACTTTTAGATGACAACGGCAGGATGATTGCTTCTGTTCACATGATCTTTAGGACGTCTCCTGTCGAAAAATGTGATCTTTCGTTGATCGGAAATCATGCGACTGATGGAATTTTGGTTTAGTTATCAATAACCGTACGGCATCTTGTTGTCAAGGGGGTTTGTCAACCAGGGATCAGATAGCAATACCTTCTCTGTAGACCTGGCTGCCGGAGCCCAGTGGAGCGTGTTCTGCATAAACTGGAGGAATAGCTTTTTGTTAGAACCCTGTAAATTCTTTTCAATGCCTTCCAAGGATACTGGAGGTATTTCGAAACCCCCTTTCAAGTCACCTAGGAATGAATCAGCGACGGTTACAAAGAGGAATCAGAGAAAGAAGCAAACAAGGTAATTAGTATTAACTAACCGTCGTCATCCAAAAATTTAGAGGCATAGTCACTTGTTGCAAGAAGTGTTTGGGTGGAGGCCCAAGCTGGGCAACCATTTCGGCAAGATGACGAAGATTCGAATCTTCCCCGTTTTTGTCCGGGCATTGAACAGGTGTTTGTTCTCAAAGAGGTCCCGCACGTAGAAGGCAATGATCAAACCTATACCACAAGTAGCTCTTCGCCCTCAGGGCCTACCATTACACCAACATTCCATATGTCCACTTGCAATCCAATGCCACCCGCAACAAAACCTCAGCAGCGTGGTACAATTACGGCTGGATGTCCTCATGATAGGTGATGACTCAGAGCCTTACCAAAAATGAGGTGGCCGCACTGCTTAGGAGTAGGAAGACGCGAGTCCCGTATATGGAATGACTCTCACTAACTTTACGAGGACTTGGATCTACCAGCTCATCTTCTTCGCAGCGAGAGAGTAGTGTTGTCTTCAATTCCGAGGAGGATGTTCTTCTCTTGTCTATCTATAGATCAAGTTAGGGTATTCTGGTTGCAAAGAACGCATGTTAAACGCTTTCCAATGTGAACAGTATTAGCCTCTGTGTGCCAAATTCGAGAGCAAGAACTAGATGTTTTAAAACCGACTTCAACAACTTCTCTGACATTGCCTTTCTAGGCATTGCCGCTTGGAGAATGAATAAACTTTTTCTCAAGGGAGGATATACAAGACATAGATAACTCCCGCTCGGAGTAGAAGAGCTCAAAATTATCTAAAGAAGTTCGAACAAGCGGAGCCCCATATGGCTAGTAGTCGAAGAATTAAGGTGTTGATAAACCTGAAACTCTCCGAGGCCATGACTATTTAAGAGTCGCGTTCGTAAACCTTCAGAGCAACATATTGATGACCTCCAAAAGATGGTCAGCCACAACACCCCGGGATTTGCAGACTTCGGGAGCGTTATTTATACCACGGAGGCTTTCTTCTTCGATTTTTATAGATGCGGTCGAGGCCGATTGGCTTTATCTCAAGTTCAAATGTTAAAGGATATTTAGAGAATGATGTGATTGAAGAAGATAAGAAGAAGACCATCAAAAACAGGAAATGTCATATTAATAATTGCTAAGTCATCTGGATCATCCACTAACTATGTATTATACCACAGAGGAGAGTACATCAGACTAAAGGCAAAAATATGATATGCATTGGGTATTGGGAAATGCATTGCTGGGTCCATACGTGGGTATAGTTATAGATTGTTTGTCATTAAAAGAAAAACAAGTTCAAACATATTAAACAGGAACAAAGGGGTATTGAAACATTAGCAGCATTATATGAGAATTAAGGCCAAGAGGTATAAGACAAATGTGAATCTTGAGCCGAATCCTATGTTGTTTAAGCAGGCGATTCGGTTCTGCCCCGGGTTATGTGAGGTGTTATTTGAGGAGCCCAATAGCGAAGGTACAGACTTAGACAGCATGACGACGACCCCAGAAACGGTGGTTACTGGTATATCGGTATTTAATCAGTATCAACACAGATATTTTCTACATACCATAAATGGAGATTGGTAGTATGCACATTGACTTGACTATTTCGCGCAAAATAATCAAGTTCGAAAAATACTTACGTTCTATATCCATCACCAGCGACTGGACGGCGGTCACGAGTGCGGAAAGTAAACCATATGCCCTGAAAAGAATCTCAATTTTAATATTATATCGCCAAGACAGGGAAGAGTTAAAAGAGAAAAAAAAAAAAAAAAAAAAAAAAAATCCATACCACAATCGCAGAAACCAACCAAAGAATGGCTGAGAGAAAGCTGAATGACTCAGCAGCCTTCCAGCGATCGCAAACACCGCCGTCCGTAATGCTGCCCCAATCGAAGATAAACCCACAGGCACGCCTGTTGAGCCAATTTACAAGCACAGCAAAGACGGAGAACCAGGCGCATGATATGATTAAATCAGCTGTCGGTGTTGGTTAGCGCTACATTGCAATATGCTTATATAAAATAACGAATGAGAAATATTTATAGAGGACGGAGGAATGTACCTATCCATAACACGAATGTTGCGGAAAAGGGTATGAGCCAAATGAGGCCTAGAAGCATTGAGATTCCCGACACCACCAACGCGTAAATCCAACGGCCCAAAGGGAAACCAGGGAAATTATCCGTTCTAGCTACATCGTGACCGATGATGCCTGCCACAACCTATATATTTATTATTAGTAAAAATAAAATAAATAAAATTCTACGGTAAGGGCGAAGTTAATGATGCGGGGAGTCTTGTGTATGGAAATGTTACGAACAGCAGCGAAGCCTATCTCTCCTATACGGAGTACGACCGAAACTATACGAGAGATGACCGGCATTGTGGTCGAAACTCTTTCAACGATCGATCTGAAGGCCAGCGCAACGCGCTTGTTAGAAATCTGTTGACGGATGACGCGGGCTAGACTGATAGAAATGTATGCTTTTCGGAAACGAGTATACCTTGGGTGGTAGTTAGCTAGATAAACTGGATCCCCAGTTTGTGATAGTTCTGATGCGCTGGATAACTGATCCCCAACTAAACGCCAGTTGAGATGAAATAATATAAGCCTTAGATGAGAATCTCCAATTATCCCTGAGGTGTCAAAGAACGTAAACAAGATTAAAAGGAATACTAGGTGCGACCTAGGAATATATAGACTCACAACACAATCCGTCACGAGGGTGATTCGTCGTAGATCCAGTTGTGTAGGTGGCGAAAACAGGGTATTGAAGTCCTCCATCGAGAGGTAACAAGTAATAGAGAGGCGAAAATAAAACAAAAGAATTAGTATCCTATAGCAGCAGTTCAAAACTCCAAGCAGACTTTCTTGTTTTTGGTTCAATCTCCGTTTCAATCGAGAATCATTAGCTAGCTTATGACGAATGCTGCCATGACGCAGTCGTCGTAGTTTGCCAATCATTCTCGGGCTAGTTAGTTAACTAATCCTTGCAGGGCATCACATCGACAACTGCGGTGCCAGCTCACAACCCTACGGTCACTGGCCATAGTGAGGGGTAATGCCCATTTTCGAAATGTTGGTAGAAGGGATCGAAAGTATCCTCTTATTTTGATTATAGATTTGATCGTTTGTTGAGTTGCCATGAAGAAGAAACAAAGGAAGCCGTAGCTTGGTATTGGCATATTGAGAAATCATGTATTATCCCAAACTCCAAATGCCGGTCTGACAATCTGGGATCCAAATGGAATTGACAGAAACAGACGTCACATACAACATGGTCTGCCCTTGGGTGGAAGTCTGCCAGTCCCAGCTCTCTAAGATAATTGGCTGAATGCCCCGAAGTTATTAGTGTTACTTTGTTATGGTTAACAAAGAGCGTGAATTCTAAGTAACCGGTTGCCGCCCCTGTTCAGCCCATGGATGCTCTATTTCTGAATAAAACTACCTATATAAGTATCCTTCAATCGAATATCAAACACATACGACCACAGGGAGTGGAAAACAGGGCTTCCCGTCCGCTCAGCCGTACTTAAGCCACTCGCCGGCCGGTTAGTAGTTGGGTGGGTGACCACCAGCGAATCCCGGCTGTCGTATGTTTTTTCTTTTTCTTTTTTTCTTTTCAAGATAGTGGATCCACCCGAAAGCCCGAAGTTCGAGGAATATAGCCATGGATGCTCATCTGCTCGGAGGTGTTCGAGGAGTATTATGAATTGTACCAGCTTGCTTCGAACCTGAATGAAATCTAGCGGTAGAGCCAGTTTCTGCAACATATTCACTTGTGCTCAGCGGAGGATCTAGATCTAACAACGATGCTTTAAGATTTGAGTGGTATCCAGTCTGACATTACTAGTTTGAACCGATGATTAGTGAAAACCAACTCTACGCAGACGTCCAAAGAAACAAAAAAGTTGACATTTAGAAATCTTGGAAGACGACGGGAAGACCTAACCTAACTTGGTTAGACCAGGTCGTCCCCAGAGTCGCCATTAGTCATTCCATTATCTAATCAGACACAACATCGCGTCTCGCCTGGACAGAAAATTATACGGTTGAGATTGAAAACAACCATCGCGTATGGATCAGTGAGGACAGCGATACTCTTTGTATATCCTTAAGACTTGAGGGTATGCGAAATCGTGAGAGGTCCTCCTTTTCCTTATTTCAATCACTTGAGACAACAGAAGACCCTCGTTTCTCAGTTACCCTCCCCGTCTTGCCTGCGCCGCATTTGCGACTGGCATTCATGCTCCGCCTTCGATTTTAGCCAGTGTGTTGGTAGGCTATTTTGGGAGACCAGTATGCCTTCTCTGCCCACTCACCGTCGAAGCGGCAGCTCCCCATCTCCTGCTGCTGCTTCTGCGGGGTCTTCTGATGAAATGACGCCGTCTCCGTCCACTTCTTTCTCCTCAGACAAAGAAAATCGAAATTCAAATAGTCGATCAGAGAAAAGGAAAACTACACATCTAGCACCTCAGTCGACACAGAAACCTCAAGTGATGGCGGACGCGTCGAACAAAAGGCGAAAATTATCAGACAACAGAGGACTGTCTGATCGCCAGAGCCAAGCCACACACAGACGACGGCCTCAACAAGTTCAAGATACCCATCTATATGACCCCAATCAAGATCCAGAAGAGCGCCGGGCGGTGCGAAAAGGACTGAGAGATCTTGCAACGAACCTGAATGGTGCGACACGTCTACATAGATATATTTTGTGTAGTTATACTGATTCGTTTGGATTAGATTCTCGCGCAGAATACCTCAAGCCTGGCTCTAACGGTATACGTACTACACTGGAGAAGGCAAATGAGTGGTTCAAATCAGTGAAACAGACGTCAGATGCAACCATAGATTCGCGACTTCTCGTGTCCGCGGCCGATTTATCGTATAAACGCACCGCGCAAACCGTTCTAGGCGATGGCGATAGCGGAATCGATGTGGATGAGTTCGTGTCGAAATGTATTTCATACATGCGCCAAGGGCCCAGAGGGGAGGAGCCATCATTTTCTAGCACCCAGAGACGACGCCGTCGCGTTACGGGCAACGATCCAGTTGAAGAAGATAGCGACGATGAAGGAGATGCGCTTAACTGGGATTGGCTTGGCCGAAGAGCCTGCTTTCCCAACAATCTGCGACCAGCCCTTTCTGGGTTTTTGCTTGGACCACTGTCGGTGCAGAAGCGATTCCGGCAACAAAGTCAAAGGAGAGCTAGACAGGAGCGTTTTGACCCATCTCTGGCTAGAAAACCACAGGAGTTAGAGGAGAAAGATATAGATAAGCAAGAGACCTCAAACCTGACTGCCATGTGTACCGATATCAGGGAGCTTCTGGTGAAGACCCAATCACACAGTGAGGCGCTGGTTAACGAAGAGCTCTCTCAAATGGGTGACGATGTTTCTGAGGACGCTGTCAAGGAAGTGATGAGCAAACATCCGATTTCAGATGATGGCGGTGTCCCACTATTCCGGTTTTGCATCAATCCAAAGTCATTTGGCCAAACTGTCGAAAATCTTTTCTATGTCAGCTTCTTGATACGTGATGGTAGTGTTGGTATATCAATGGACAGCAATGAACTCCCCACGCTACGTAAGTGATAATCCTTGGGTTGTCAATCCCTAGAAGGGCATACTACTAACCTTTCATTCAAGTCCCCTCTCATCCGGCAGCACCATCAGAAGCGCAGGCCAAAAAGCTGCAGAAGCACCAGACAGTTTTTAGTCTCGATTATGAAACCTGGGAAGATCTCATCGAAATATTCAACATCGAAGAGTCTTTAATACCTCACCGAGAGGAAGGGACAACAGAGTCGGCAGATAAAAGAAAGGTTCCTGGCCGGCGTAATTAGCAACCAATATGAGCCGTCTTGCATTGCTTCATCTACCTGTCCTTTGTACATTAATATTTTGTGGCCTTTTTTGACCTGATTTTGTTTTATTTTTAAGCCTTTTATTCCCCCTCATATCTACGGAGTATTGCTCTGCGTTTTATTCATTCTTCCTGTTATTCTCTTGCTGTCTTATGAATGTATCTTTCGCTTTAATTTTTTATCTGGCTGCACGATAGGTAGGCTCTTGCTGTTGTTGTCGTCAACGTTTCAATTCAATTTCTTCGGATTCATTTATTCTATCCAGTACTGTCATTGAAATCTGGAATATGCATGGGCTACATCCGAGGTATTTTCCTTTCGCTCTTCTCGTATTTTAGCAGAACGTGGGGAGATGAATGCCGTTTGGGTCGAAATTAAACAAGATATATTCGAATCATATGGAGAATTGATGTCTAAAATCTATGTTTGCGTCTCCAACTATGTGTATTCCGTACACCCCTTACATTTGTATGCGTACATCGCGGGTTGTTCATCCAGCTGTTGACGCACGAGTTGGCGGTCTGGGCTTCACAGTTGGGACATGTTTTAGTTACGTCATGGTGGCCGCTAGTTAGCTAGTTAATGTAGTTTGCGACTTTCCAACTAACCAGCTACAGAGTTACCAACCTCTTTTCATGCAGCAAAAATGCGACAAGAACTGCATTTATGAGTGAATAAATCTTGGTGCCCATCACTCTGGACATGTGATAGTACGTACACTTTTGCCACTCTTTGAATCTCAAACTAAATGAATGATTAATGTTCTTCCCCAAGTCATCAATTCTTGTCCACCCCCAAGCTATTTCAACCTTCCTCCCTCCTCATGGTATCGCCCAAGTCCATTCCTGTTCCTATTCTTTGATATTCTTCCCTTCATTTTCTGGTTCGCTGAATAGGCGTTGTTTCCATTCGTATACCGTCCTCACAAAACGAGCTCCATTGTTTAGCAACAACGAACTTGTCGAGCAAGTGATAACCCAGGCAAAGCATTTTCAACATATTACCAGTGTTGGTCGACCGCTTGTCAAGCAAGCAGCATCTGGTTCATCTTATTTTGGAACGATGCCTTCGACGCTGGTTCCATCACGGCCGGATGATGTAATGGTGGTACGGAAAGTCCACGATGATATAATTACTTTGAATGTTCCTTTCTATCGCTTTGGGCACGCAAGAATCGGCGGACGGTGTACAATTGGTAAGTTATGAATCAGCACTAAATGAACAATAAGTTGTGATATCGTTAAGCTCATTTGCTAATGGTGAGTGCCCTAGTTCGTCTCCAAAGTGGCCCTCTAGTTGTTATCTCTCCAGTCGCTCTCACAGCAAATGCAAGGGAGGCTATCACTTTATTGGGTGGTGATGTTAAGTACATTGTTGCTCCGGATATGGAACATCACATATTCTTAACCCCTTGGAAAGAAGCCTATCCAAACGCCCAAATCATCGCACCACACGGCCTTAAAGAAAAGCGGGAGAAAAATTCCGAGATGAGAGGACTTCAACAATACGACCATGTCTTCACAAAAGCGAACAAGAGGACTTTGAGAATATCAGACGAGTTCCATGCCGGCTTTAACGTCGAATATGTCAACTCTCACCCTAGTCACGAAATTGTCCTTCTACACAAGCCCTCCAGGACCCTTATTGAAGCAGATTTGTTTTTCAACCTCCCTGCCACAGAGCAATTTTCACAATCTGGCGAGTCGGCCACTCAGGGTGTCCTGACCAAGATATTTCATGTTTTTCAGTCAGCAGCGCCGCCTGCTACCTGGCAGAAGCGGTTTATCTGGTATGTTCTGTCAGCGCCAGATCGTAAGAGTTTTGGGGAATCCGTAGCTACGATTGAAGGGTGGGATTTTGATCGGATAATACCATGTCATGGAGATGTGATTGAGACCGGAGGCAAAGCAGTATTCTGTAATTTGTTTGAATGGAACTTAGAGGCGGCCAGAAAGCACACGCAATGAAGGGTTTGCTATTTTTGACAAGTTTCTGTTTAGGAGGGATTGAAGTTCCCCTTTGTATTTATCAGCATTGTACAACACAAACAAATGAAATGGAAATCGTACGAACGCTATGATCCGTCTCAATTCAATTTTTGGAATTCTACATCAAAGTTTATAGTTAATTAACTGGTTAATGTTGGTTTAACTCTTTCCCAAGGACAGCTTACGTAATCAATTGAAACTGTTGCCAGCCCAACCAAACAACGTTGGGAAGTTGTGGGCGCCTGACGTTAGTTAAATTAATGACATACCCATATCAACGCAAACTCCACAGGACAAATATTAAGACAGCTGTTGTGAAGATGCAGTTCAAACACTAAATGAGTCGAAGGAGAAAAATGATGGTTCTAACGGCCTAGGAGGCCAGCATATTGTAATGGACACCTATACCTTTGCAACATCTGCCCAGGTCGATTTACCGATCCATCTAAAGATGTGAGTACCTCCCGGCTAGATAACTTCCATTTGCCATAACTAACGCTCTCCTTTAGATGCAGCTTGGAAGGAAAACAGAAATCGGTACCTTTCTCCGTCTTGATCAAGAATCCTGACCTTCGACATCTTGGGTCGAACCAGAGCCCTATTTCCGACCTCTACATCACCGTGCAGCTTTGGGCGAGCTCGAAACCTCTAGGCATGCCGGTCCAGACGGCATACAAAGCGTTCAAAACGAGCCGTACATGGAATGAATGGCTTACAGTGCCAGTATCGATTAAAGACGCACCCATCAATAGCCAGCTAGCCATCACAGTTTGGGATCTATCACCTCTGTGTGGGAACGATGCTTATGGTCATTCTGTTCCCTTTGGAGGGACTACTGTATCATTGTTCGATGAAGACGGTACTCTGAAAAAAGGGAGACAGAAGTGTAAAATCTATAGACACAAGGCGGCAGATGGACTTTCGAATACCACGACACCTTCCACACCGGTACAAAAACGGCGCCTATTTCCACATATAGACCATGGCCTTACCCCGGAAGAAGAGGAGTTGGAGCGTTTGGAAAAGCTCTTAAAGAAACATGAAATGGGCGAGATCCCCCGAGTTGACTGGCTGGATCAACTTGTATTTCGGGCGGTGGAGAAGAAAAAATTAGAGGCCGAGGAATCTGCAAGAAAGAAGGCAATACGGAACAACGCTGCTAGGGAAAAGGCCCGAGCCAAGTCAAATTGGGAGGCAAACAACCTCGATGATGACGAAACAGATTATATAAATAATAACGAAGAGAACTTCGTCCTCTATATCGAATTTCCACGTTTTGATTTTCCCATTGTTTTCGAAGATTTTGAATACCCTCGTCCACCGATATCCTCTTATTCTCAGCAACCTATGTCGGGATCTAATTCTACCCTCAAGCCCCCTCCGGAAGTCTGTTTAGGCCCCGATATAGATGGCGCGGGGAATGAAGATGATATCCATCGAATAATTCGAATATATGACCCTGAGGTCGGCCAGAAAGGAAACCCTTGCGAGGACAAACATCGAAGACTGGTTCGTAGTCATCGAACGGGCATTATGGATCGCGACCTCAAGCCAAATCCGAAGATTCGTGATGAATTGCATGATATCATGTTATATGGCCCCACAGAAGAACTCAATTCCGAGGAGAAAGACCTTGTGTGGAAGTTCAGGCACCACCTCACTCGGGACAAGAGAGCCCTGACTAAATTTGTGAAATCTGTGAATTGGCAAGATGTTAGCGAAGCCCGACAGGCTGTTGAAATACTTCCCAAGTGGACCGAGATTGATGTGGACGATGCATTGGAACTTCTTGGGCCGACCTTTGACAACCCCGCTGTGCGGGCTTACGCTGTTGACCGGTTGAGGAAATCCGATGATGAAGAGCTTCTTTTATATCTGTTACAACTAGTCCAGGCCTTGAAGTTCGAAACAATACCCAATGAGGTTTCTGAGGATGTAACTCGAGATTCTTCGCTGACTAGTTTCCTAATTAGCCGAGCCGCCAATAATCCACTTCTTGGATGTTATTTTCATTGGTACCTCATGGTCGAGTGTGACGATGCGGGCCCTAGCACCATTTCCGTCCATCGCAAACTATTCGCTCGTGTTGAGTACTATTTCATGGTCGAGCTGGAGAAACATAACCCCGAGCAGAGGAAAGTCCTGTTGCGACAAGGTGAACTTATTACAATTCTCACTAAAATCGCCAAGGATATTCGCTTCTCCAGAGTGAACCGTGCTGTCAAAATCGAAAAGCTGAAGAAGTTTTTGACGGACCCTAAAAATGAACTTGCCACCATTGACCCACCTCTCCCGCTCCCCCTGGATCCTGAAGTTCAGGTTACCGGTTGCTTCGCGGAGGGTTCCAATGTTTTCAAATCTTCACTTTCTCCTCTCTTAATCAATTTCAAACTCACCGATGGACGAAAATACCCAGTAATTTTCAAGGTCGGAGACGACCTGCGACAAGATCAGCTAGTCATACAAATAATCAGTCTGATGGATCGCCTCTTGCAAAAGGAAAATTTGGACTTGAAACTCACACCCTACCGCATCATTGCCACAAGTGCCAATGCCGGCGCGGTGCAATTTATCCCTTCAACGTCCCTATCAGCAGCATCCGCAAAATACAAGGGCTCAATCCTTACATATCTGAAAGCGAATAATCCAGACGACAATGAACAGTTGGGTGTCCGCAAAGAAACCATGGATACTTATATAAAATCATGCGCTGGCTACTGCGTGATCACTTACCTTTTAGGTGTTGGGGATAGACATCTGGACAACCTTCTTCTTGCACCCGATGGACACTTCTTCCATGCCGACTTTGGCTTTATTTTAGGCCGTGATCCAAAGCCATTTGCGCCCATGATGAAACTCTGCAAAGAAATGGTAGAAGGTATGGGTGGAGCGTCGTCTCCCAATTATATCCAATTCAAACAATATTGTTTTACGGCGTACACCACCCTGCGCAAATCCGCAAACCTAATCCTCAACCTCTTCAGTTTGATGGTCGATGCAAACATCCCTGACATCCGCGTCGAGCCAGATAAGGCTGTATTAAAAGTGAAAGAGAGATTCCATCTGGAGATGAGTGAGGAGGAAGCAATTCGCCATTTCGAACAGCTGATCGGTGATAGCGTGAATGCTATATTTGGAGTTGTCATTGACCGCCTTCACGATTTCGTTCAAGGGTGGAGGGCGTAGTTACCCATTCTATCTCTATACAGATTCACTGTTGACATATAAAATTTACAACTAATATTCTCGAGGTTTATTTTTGGATGTGGGCACTCGGAACACTGGGTTGGAAGATATCGGCGCTGGGAAATATTGGATTTTGGCTGGCATATTTGGGGGTTAGTTGTACTCTAACATACATGTGCTTAGAAAGAAATACCATATGCCCTAGCATTGGGTAGATAGGTTAATACAACTTGGATTTTCATGGTCTTCATATTTCCGAAATGGGTTTGACGCTTCGACAAATATAATAATTTCCCTTACTCTTCAAAAGCCCATATCGGAAGTTTTTAGGCTATTGTAGATAATTGTGCCAGCACAGTGTTGTTATTTTACTCCGCACAAATCGCCTTTTAATTATTTATTGAGCATGATTTAGCAATCTGGGGTCGGGAATCGGTCTCGGGATTGGACTTGAGTCTTTCGGCCCGAGTGGCGCACCAACCAATATCCGATACCAAGAGCCGCCGGAGTCGGCTTTTTATTGTTCCATGCAAAGACAATTTTTTTAGTCAATGACAACCAACTCAAACCTCCTCAGTGCAGCTTGAGAAATTAATTGATCATCTGCCAATTAGCACCACTTTGCCTGGGACCATCTCGATCTTTTGTATGTAAATCCATTCCCAATTTCTCTCACTTCACTTTGTCTGGGGGTATCATTTCGCCATGCTCCCGTGTCCTTGATGGCTTCCACATTCGTACCCCGGACGGTCTTCCCAGCAATTGACAGCATTCCACGTACATACTTTTTGGGACATCATAAAGCTGGGCTTGAAAGAATGAAGGAGATGTTATCAACCATTGATCATGTCATTGAATGCAGAGATTTTCGCATCCCTGCCACTTCGATCAACCCACTTTTCGAGGAAGCTTTGGGTGAGAAGTCGAGATCGATCGTATATACTAAAAGGGATCTTGGAGGAGATCTCAAGCTGGAAAACCAGAAAGTGAGTATCTCGGACTAACTGTATTATGTCTTCTTATTTCCATACATATGCTGATATCTTCCTAATCTACATAGCGTGAGAAAATGATTCAGCGTTGGAATCGGGGTTCGAAAGTTTTCTTTGCTAGCAAATTTAATAACAACACTATCGTTCCGATCGTTAAGAGCCTTAAAAGGCAACCTTTCAAAATAGACAAAATCACAGGATTTCGAATTCTGGTTGTGGGAATGCCCAATATTGGAAAATCAAGTTTGATCAACAGCCTCCGAAAATATGCTATGAAAATAAAGAACAAAGTGGCTAGGACTGGCGCAGATCCTGGTGTGACGAGGAGAGTTGGAACTGGGATCAAAATCATTGAGAGAAGACAGGGCTCGGTATATGTGCATGATACACCCGGGGTCTTTATGCCATACATGCCAGATTCAGAAAGCATGTTGAAGCTTGGGCTTTGTGGTTGCTTGAAGCAATCTATTATCCCGATTATTACGTTAGCTGACTATTTGCTCTATCAAATCAACCTCCACAAACCAATTATATACGGGAAATACTCGCCACCAACGAATGATATAATTCAATTCTTGAAGGCCTTTGCTGCAAAAACAGGATGTCTTTCTAAAGGCGGTATTCCAGATGTAAACACTGCGGCTAATAAGATGATCAACATGTTTCAAAAGGGAAAACTGGGAACTTTTATTATGGACGATATATTGAGCGTAACTTTGCAGCGGAAGCAGGAAAGATTGGCTGCCTTGGGGGGAAGTCTTAACCAGGCGAAGAAGGCAGAGAAATTGGAGAAGAAGGGCTCGAACTCGGATATCGTGCGGACGGAAGTGGAGACAGTATAGACGAGTTGAATATTGAAGTTACCTCTAATTTCGCATGATTATTTAAGATGAATTTTGTACATTATGTATTTATAGATATGCCTAGGGTAACGAATTTTATAATTTATGAACATGTAGGCAAACAGGAAACATTTTATTCCGTAAAACCGTAAAAATTGCCAACCAACCAGAAAAATAGTATATCATCATGCTATCAACGTATTTTGTCAAGCAATCTCCTCCGACGCCGATCTACTAATTCTTCTTGTACTTCCTCGAGGGTAGGTAGCCTCCACTCAATACCGTCCCCGCTATCACCAGGCAGCGGTTCCCACCCATCGACTGCCTCGTCCTTCCCATGCTGCAACATATTTTCAAAAGCCTCCTTTTCTTTCTGCCTTTCATACTCCAACAGCGTCCCGTCTTCCTCATCTAGCCCATATCCAAAATAAGCAGCATCAACATTTCTTCGAGTCAAATCCACTACCCTGCCCCCACCATCATCTTCCTCTCGACCCGTCTTACTTTGTTTTCGTGCAGCAGCTTCAAACATCTCCTTGACACCTGGAAGCTCCCTCGCCCTCCCAAAATATCGATAACCTTTCCCACCACCCGGTATCTCCCTGCCATCATCGTCATACACCCTCCCACCACCACGTGTATAATTCGGCCCTCCAAGATTCCGTATCTGTACCTCCCACATCCACTTTTCCCGCATGGCCTTATTGATCTCGTCATTCAAGTCCCGGATCTGGTAATCGCTCAAGCTCTGGTCCTGGATGCGTGAGACCTTGCGCGAAATTTCCTTCAGCACCTGTCCCCGCCATTTCTCGCATACGGGAATCGAAGTTACAGATGTGATGGCTTTGGGGCGGCGGGTACGGCCAATATCGAGAATTCCGAGGTCTGCAGCTTGTGCGGCGCGGAAGCGAAAAAGCATAGACTGTGCTTTTTCACTGTTGCGAGCCTACATATCGGGTTGATTCTAGTTAGTTATTTTATGTTTTCGTAATGCGGAGAACAACAGGCCTCACCATCGCTACGTTGTGATGTGACGAAGAGACGCAAAGATGGCAACGATAGGATAAAACGAATTGAAGTAAACGTAGCTATAAATTCGGTTATCTCCTCCCGTAGAAAATATTGGTGAACGGCGTAGAGCAGAAGGGTGAAGTGAAGGGGTGCTGGGTATCAAAGCGATTGCTATGGGGAGAATCAAGATCTTGGATGTTTTGTCTGGTGTGAATGCACCTTTGCCCAATTTAGTTAGCGTGTGCGCAGATATGTTCGTTCAACCTCAGCCCAAACCACATTCCTCCGTGCTCTTTAAGCTGTCTATTTTCAGAACAGGACCCAATATATTGTTAAAGAAGGGGAATTAAATAATCTCATGTGTGTATAATTTGGCAATCCCCTAGCAGGAATGGGTATTTACAATGTGTCCCAGAAGCATGGAGGATTCAATCCATAATCGAATTAACAGTATCAAAACCATTATCTACGCTCAACTTTGAAATGTTAAACAGAAACCAACGACGAAAAGGACTAACATAGATTGAACAAACTGGATCATTCCATCGAAATTACCTTTTCAGGACAACTTATTGCCTATTTCATGCATCCATGACAAACACAACCCCCCGCCTACTCCACTACTCCATAAAGACAATGATGCAAAAAAGGAGAGACAAGAAAGATTATGACGTCAGTCATCCCTTCACCACCCTAAGCGTCTCACGCAAAAACATGAATCTTCATAAAAGCGTTCATAGGAAACCTTTGGAGTTACTCATTTTGCGCTGAGGTACTTCGATAGGGCCGTTTAGTCCAGGGCCAACGTAGACACCACTACCGCGACGACTCCCATTGGCACCCCGGAATCGATCGCCGATCTCACTCAAACCAGTCATAGTACCACTGCGTCCTATTGCGCTGCCTCTCTCCACTCGCAGTCCCTTCCAACCCTCCAGTTCCCGCTCCAACCGCAAAGATTTCTCTCGTTCTTCGCGCAATTCTCTCTCGGCCCGACGGGCTTGGAGCTGATTTTCCGAGTCATTTGATTGAAGATCTTCAATAGTTTTGAGGAGCCGATCGATTTTGTCACGGGACTTCGAAATATCATCAGATAGCTGTTCATTCATCTTGTCGCGACGCTCAATCTGGGATTTAAGGTCTTTTACGGTACGGTCAACATTGCGGACAGATCGTTGCTCAGCCTTCCGCTTCGATTCCTGGTCATCCAATTGAGCTTCGAGCTACATTAGATTGGTAGTTAGTACTCGAATGTTTCGAGGTGATGCATAATAGGCAGTTGTTGGGTGCGTAGGAATCTCACCTCTTGTATCCTTTTATGCAAAAATCTCACGTCTTGACTCGCGGAGGTATATCCCTTAGTCTCCAAATCGACACATTTCAACTGTGCCTCCTTGAGTTGCTTTTCTAAAGCCACCTTTTCTTTGAAGAGCTGAGCAGTCGACTCACGCTCTGCTACAATTTCTTTCTGTATTTCCGTTGCTAGAGCTTCTGCCCGCCTCATCTTTCCGACTGCGGCTGAAGACAAGTCTTCGTGTTGTGCGAGTTTAGCCTTTAATTCAAGGAGTTCACGGTCCATTTCAGCGGCGCTGCGCATTGAGGGGTTTTCGCCTTGTGCAAGCTCAGCCAGGCGATCAGACGCCTCGTTGAGACGCGCTTCAAGACCTCTCTTCTCTTTCAGTAGTGTGTCTCTTTCACCAGTAACATCGTCGATGGAGGTTCGAAGTCCCCGAACCTGGGACAGAAGGGAAACTACCTTGCTCTGGGCATCGTTATGAGCGTTTACGGCTTCGTCGCGTGAAATAGATATATCCTGCAAAGTCATTTCCAGCCGAGATTTCTCCTTCGCCCAGGTAGAGCTGTTCATAACTTCGTCATCCCACTTGGATCGAAGCTCTTCAATTTCTTCTCGCAGTCGAGTGTTTTCTCCACGGATATGGAGCACGTTCTCGCGCTCGACCTCCAGCTCGTTTGTTACGATCGAGAGTTCCATTTGGTACTTCTTCCTCGTTTGCTCCAGTGAGATTTCCCTATCTTCAATGTCCATAGCGCGCTGGCTCCTGTAGTCTTCTAGCTCATTTTGGAGCCTCCTCTTTGCTTGCAACGCTGCGTCGAGGTCAGCGGCGAGGTCCTCAACTTTCTCTTCGTAGGACTGTGTCTGGCGCTGTAAGTCTTCAACAAGGCTATCCATTTGCTTCCTTTCCGCCATAATGGTCGCGCACATGTCTTCTGCCTCCTTGGCTTGTGCCTTGGAAAACTGTTCGGCACGAGTCGCCTTTAGCACAGCAATTTCAGCCTGTTCAAGCTTGGCAAAATATTCATCAGCACGACCCTTGTAGAGATCTAGGCTTGATGTCAAATCAACGACCTTGGAAGCTTCTGCATCCAACCGGATTTGAAGGTCGGCAAATTCTTGGAGCAGCTGGGCGCGACTGGCAGCATCTTGTTCCCGAGAAAGTTGTGATTCCTTCAATTCGGAATTTGCATCTCGTAGCTCGACTTCAAGATTTGCCCTTGCATGCTTAATCTTTTCTAATTGGGCTTTTGCATCTGTTAAATCTGCCAATGCACTCTTGTGGACCTGGACGATTGATTTCCTCGCCTGCTCCTGGGAGTTCAGCAAATCATACAGTTCTTCATGAGATTTGGCTTGAACGTCCCGCAGGGTCAACTCTCCAGAATGAATGCTCCGTTCCAAAGCAGACACCTTTTTGGCAGAGTCGTCAAGTTTCTCATGAAGGCGGCCATTTTCGCGTTCAAGCATTTGCATTCGTCGAATCGAAGGACTTTCATCTTGCCACGCATCTCGGACCGGGGTGGATCTCTCAAGTTGGTTTTGGAGATGCCGATTTTGCATTTCGGTAAGCTGAAGTTGATTTTGAAGCATTTCTATCTCAGAAGCAGTATCCATCCGTTTCTGGAAAGCCACGGTGTCAACAGTTCTGTCAGATCGACCGGAGTTATTAGCACCGTCAGCAAAATTATACCGGCGATTGTTGGGTGTGGAAGGATTCGAAAAGCGCTTGACAGGCTCGGAATTTTTCCTGAAATGGTTTGGCGAACGCGATACAGCAACCTGGTTTTGATCAATCTCTTCAAGCAGCGCCCGCTTCGAAGACGAATATCGAGCATCTAGTTCGGCCATCTCGTCCGCATGACGCCTGCGCATTTCAGATAGTTGGCTCTCGGCGCGAGCACACTTCTCTTCAGTAACCCGAAGTTTGTTTTGTACTGATTCCAGAACTACAGCCATGTCTATGTTCTTCGAAATATCCGGCTTCACAGCCTCCCAGGAGCTCGAATTTTCATTTGCTTCCGGATTAAAAACTTTGTGGAGAAGGACCAACTGATGGTGACAATCCTGAAGTTCTTTATTTGCTTGGTCAACCGAAGCCTGAAGTTTCCGCGTGTTGGCCTGTGCCTGGATTCTTAACTGTCGTTCAGTTTCAAGGTTTCTGTTAGCTTCTGCAAGCTGGATATTGGATGCGGATGCTGCTTTCTCTGCACTTCGGGTGGCCTTGTGTTCTCTAGTGACTTCATGGTTGAGATCTTCCACATTTAGAGCTAGTTTCTCCTTCTGCTTCTCGAGTGACGTGATAGATAGTTGTGCATCTGCTAGATGTCGTGAAAGCTGCTTATTCACATCATCCAGTCGAGTCTTTTCATTTTGGAGTTGCACCATCCTCGATCGCTGTGTGTCACCAGCCCGAGAATTCGAACGTGCAATTTCAAGGTTCTTCTGCTGGATCTTGTTAAGGAGTGCCCTGTTGTCATTTTCAGATGCAGTGAGCCGCCCTTTGATAGTCACGAGCTCCCGCTCCATGCGCTCCTTATGTTGATCATGGCGGATACGGAAGGCCTCAGACTCTGCCATTGTTTGAGTTAATTCTTGTACTTGTGTGGCAAGGCGAGCCCGCTCCTTTTTGGTTTTGTTAAGTTCTTCTGCTGTAGCCTCAAGGTCGCGCCGCAAACTTGCTTGTCGTTCACTAGCTTGTGCGGCGTTTTTCTTTTCAATTGCAGCCTCGGCATCCAAACGAGCGCTTTCAACCTTAGCGAATCGCTCCCTCAAATTTATTAACTCCCTTTGCAGTTCTTTACGAGAATCCTCAGCTGCCGTGCGGGCTTCCATGGCTCGCCGTAAGGTGTCCTGTTGGATGTACATTTCTTTTTCGATGGTGATCTTTGAGTCATTGAGATTGTCAAACTCATGTTTGAGTTGAGCATATTTGTGTTCACCGAGCATTTGCACGTCGTCTCTAGATTGTCTCTCGCGACTAAGATCAGCTTGAACCTGGTAGAGTTGCGCCTTGAGATCTTTGACTTGTTGATCAAGCATTTTTCGACTCTGTCCCGCCTCAGCGTCTTCGGACATCTTCGCCTCTAGTAGCTTCTTCACATCTGCAGCCTCACGTTCCAGGTTCTTCTTCTCCGACATCATAGCATCTGTTTGCGCTTGGAGATCACGGAGGCGTTGCTGCATATCATTGTGTCGGCTTGCGAGAGATGTCTTTTCAGCTTCCAAGGATTTCCTCTCCGACTCCAATTTCTTGACATCTCCACGAAGAATTGTAATTTCCCCCTCCTTTCGCCTGACCAATTCTTCATACCCAGTCGATGTGGATGATAAGTCGGATATCTGCTGACGAATCGATCTGTTTTCCTCGATGAGATCTTTGACTTGCTTTTTGGAAACCTGAAGCTCCTTAGCCGCATTGGCGAGCTCGATGCCGAGGTCCTGGTCAGTTTTGAGCAGCTTATCTTCAAGATCTTGTAATTTCTGTTCCTTCAAGCTGAGGTGACTTTTGAGCATCTTGATTTCCTGGGATAAACCATCAACCTCGTCATCCCGTTTTCGATGATTATTCTCAATATCATTTAAATGGCCATGGAGCTCAGATATTTGAATCTGGAGTTCCTTTTTCTCTGATTCAAGGCGGCTCATTATTTGGGCCGCTTGCTCGAGTTGCGAACGCCGAAGCTCCAACTCCTCCTCTATCTTCTTTTTGGATGCAATCAGCTCATCTAGCTGGTCTTCCAAATTTTCCTGATCCGCAATTGCACCAGATAACTTTTCAGTGAGCTCGATTTCACGAAGTTGGAGTCGCTTGAAGATTTCTTCTTTATCCAGAGCCAAAGTCCGCTCACTCTCAAGCGTCTTCCTAATCCTGTGTACCTCGACTTCTGCCCTCCGTCGCTCTTCTTCCAATTTCTGACGTTCCAAAATGTCATTTTTGGCTTTCTCCTCAAGCTTTCGAATTTGCTCGTCGCGCTTTTTCACCTCCCCTGCAATTAGTGTTGCTCCTAGGAGCGGCTTCATCCGTACAAACAACGTCCACCATGGCGATGATTTTAGATTTAGATAAACGTGGAAGTTTCGTTGGATGATGCGAGTGGCTTCCGTACGGTAAAGTCGCTTATTCGCAATGTGCCTCTGTACAAACCCCCTGGCAACAGACTGGAATCTCGTCATGATATCGCGTATATGGGTATCTCTTTGCTCCTCGAGCTCAGCAAGCACACCGGCCCTAAAGAATATCTTCGTTAAACCAACGCGATATAAAGATTTATCCAATCCCAGGTTTTCCACCATTATTTTAGCTGCATTCTGCCCGTCGAGGTATCCTTTTGGCATTCTAGGGCACAGGACCTCATACCGCTGCCGGAACTCCGCGAACGGAAGGCGGTTGGGGAATCCAGTACGAGCAATCCGAATTCCTTCCAGTACACCATTGCAGCGGAGTTGATCTAGTACCAAAGGACCGTTGAATAGCTTAGGTCGCTTTTTATGATTAGGCAAGATACAACGGACGAAGTGAGGATGGGTAGAGTGTAGTTGCGCCATGAGGCTTGAAAGTTGCTCCTTATGTCTCTGGGCCACAGTACGGAATAAACCTTTCTTTACACGGCTCTTCGATAATCCGTATTCTTCGTCAGAATCTGCACAGTCGGCAAAGAGGTTGGCGATGTGTTTATCGTTTGAGGAGGATAAGAGTCGAGTGACGTTGTCGTTCATAGGATCCTTGTTCTTCTCCAGCCAACCCTCAGTGGAGTACTCAACCTCAGCTGCATAGTGGGTAAGGGTAAATCCCTGGCTTAATCGGGAAGAGCGGTATTTCGGGGATTTGCGATCCCAGAGCGAATGAAGTTTTTCGGTAAATGACTTATCAGTCGCCTTAGGCATCACGCAATCTTCATCCAGGCAGGAGAATATACCAATTGGATTAGGCAGCTCGATGAGATCGATTGTCGGTTGAAGGTCCTTCCCAAAATCGATAAATTGCCATTCGATTTGTTCCCTGGCATACTCTTCTTGTTCCAGCACAAACATGTGATGGTTAAAAAATTGCTGGAGCTTTTCATTTGTATAATTGATACAGAGCTGTTCAAAGCTGTTGTTCTCGAAAATCTCGAAGCCTGCGATATCTAGTACCCCAATGAAATAGCTGTCATCGCCTGCCGTACCACTACAGTCTAGTTGGTCATTGATCCGGGTAACGAGGTCCCCAAATCCGCGTTCGTATATACCTTTTGCAAGTGCCTCAAGCCCGAGGCGGACTTGTTCGGGGGTCTGGACCTTCTCTACCCATTCTCTCCCAGCCTTGACCTTGGGGTGAAGTAAACCTTTTACAAATGGTTCCACGGGAATGCCTAAAAGCTGGCAAGCGATAGTAGCACTCTGATATCCTTCAGACGTCAGTATCGCCTGGTCCGCTCGAAGACTTTCCTTGGCTACGCTGATATTTCCCAGATGCATAACCGCGGCCACAGTTCGCAAAATTGATAGTTGGTCGTTATCAGAAAAATTCATGATTCCAAAAGCTTCCATGAGAGAATTCCATTCATCAATGTCCGAAACGCCTGAAATCGAGTCATTTCCCTCCCGCGTAAAACCAAAATCTTCAACATCAAGGTCAGAAAGCCAGAGAAGCCGTCTCAACTCGCTGTCTGCACCACGCAAAAGCTGGTAAAATATGTGATAGTTTCGTTCTTGGGGATTAAGTTTCACGACACGAGACTTTTCTAGGAGATACCAGTCGATGAAAGCTCCACAGATCTGGCCTGCCCGTGAAAATTCAATTCGAATGAACTTCCCAAAGCGCGACGAGTTGTTGTTCCGCACGGTTTGTGCATTGCCAAATGCCTCGAGAATTGGATTCGCCCTTAATATTTGTTGGGAAAGGTTGGAATATTGCTTGTTAGTAGAGCGGCCTTGCGGGCTCTCTGAGGACGCGACAGCAGCAAGGTATTGGATCACCTTTTTCGTGTTCTCTGTCTTACCCGCTCCAGACTCGCCGCTTCACATATGTCAATTGTTTGTGTCTCTTTAATTGCGACGCGTGAAAAAAAGAACTTACGTCACTAGGATACTCTGGTTCTGTCCCTCTTCGACAAGGTTGCGAAATGCTTGGTCTGCCATTGCAAAAATATGCGGCCGTGTGTCTTCTCGTGTTCGACCTTTATATAATTTCACATACTCATTCGTGTAGATAGGCAATGGACAGTAAGGATTGATTGTAACCAAGAAAAGGCCAGAGTAAGTCTAGAGCTTCCAATTAGCATACAATTCATTGTTGACAACCGAGTAGAACCGGAATTCCTCTCACGTATATCAAGTCCGATTTATACCTCGTGTGCAAATTGTGGACGACGGAGCCCTCATTTAGATGGGTAAGCTCAGCCATGTCGTCTGCTTTGTCGAACTTTGCTGGGTTAACTTTATCGACGCTTTCAGAATCGACATGCCGTTGCTGGCAAAAGTTGGTGTCAGCATGCACACTCCACAGCACTCCGGGCACTAGCATTAACACGTACACCTCCCTCGTCGCATTGGACTAATAATCGGCCATCCTGCGTCTCTTCCAGAACCATTCCGCGGATGAATGCCTTCTCTGGGTCCCTCAGCCAAACATATCGCTTTCCTGAAAAGTCATTGTCGCCCTCTATGCCACGGATCTGATCAGCACCTCTCCGTAGCTCTTCCGATTTTATGAATTGAGGAGCAAATGTATTTGAAGCGGGTAGATTGGTCTTTGAATTTGAGTGATATCTATTATGGGAGGGAAAAGACCCTCCTGAGCTTGTTGGAGAAAAGGATGCGTTACTGGTATGCCCCGATGGTTGTGTGGCTACTGGGGTTGTAAATGCAACAGACTTGGGTCTGGGGGCGGATGCGGGAGCTGGTTGGGGTTGTGGGGAAGCTGACGGAGAAGCTCGAGTGAATGGGTTGCTACGTCTCGAAGACGGGCTCTGTGGAGGAGCCATTCTCAGACGATCGGGAGATTTGTTTTTTATAAGCTGATTGAGCTCATGAGTTCAACGTCCTTTTACTGGGCCGTATGTCGCTGCGTTGTTAAGTGCCTCTGAGCGCGAAGCAAACAAAACAAAGTACAATATTAGAAGAGAAAAATTATGAGAAACAAAAACAAGGAAAGTAAAAAAAAGAAATTCAAAGTGAAATACAAGATGTAAAAGAAGCTCTTCCTCTCATACCTGAGAAGAAATTCGTTTCGTTCGAGGGTGGGGATCGTTGGTTATTGTTGGCTGAACCGTTGCTTGACATTGGCGTTAAGTTTGGTGACTTCATACACACACAGTTGTTTGTTTACATTGTTGATGGCTGGATCGTGGCCCGTGCGCCCGCGCTAAAACTCCTGCCGCGGTTCAATGTCACATGACCTTACCGCCGTTGGACTCTTCGGTGGCTTCTAGAGAAATTTCCCAGTCCGCATCGAAACTCGGTTTTTTGTGCTCTTCAACATCCATCTCTTCTACGCCTCGTCCTCTACTCCCCCACTCCCACGTATTCACATCTCGAATACTTCATATGTTGCCCAATATTTGATCGCTACCTATATTTGTATAACGTACCTAGTTTTCTACTGATGAAACTCAGCCTAACGAGGTCATCTGCCACTTGCGTATCGGAAAGGATTCCTGTGGACATCCCTCGAGGTGCATATATTTGCTTGGACGTGCGTGTGATGCGATTTGGAGACAGATGAAGATTACTCATACATTTTGCTCCTCTTGACGCGTAAATACGCTGTTTGGTGATTGTATTGTCACTGGCTTGCGACCATATTCGCACAATGCCAATGAGCATTGAAGCCCGCCGCTGACCTGTATAAACACCTGTCGAATCTTCATGATTTGAAGCATCTCATCCATTTATCTACCTTATATAGGTTACATACAGCTGCAGAATGTCGTCAAATTATCCACCTACCCCATCGTTTGGAGCCCACTACCGTCCCTCTCAGCAGTGGGCCCCGGACTTGTCTTCTGCATCGTCAGTCGAGGCAGCTCATGGATACCACCAACCCCAAGCCCCTATTCCTCTTCCCCTTCCCCTTCCCCCCCAACCTTTGGGGGCCAATAGCACTTCTGACTTCAATATCAATACTCAGATTCCAGGCCTCTCGGGAAATAATAGTGACCATCTGACTTACACTCCACCCTTTCCCTATATGCCTCCGTTTCGCCATGCTCCTCACCAGGCAGAAACTTACCCACCGACCTTTGGTGCCCCTTCCCTAGGCTACCCTCCCCAGGGTATTGCCCAACAGCCTCAACAAAACGGCCAATCTGATATCGCACCTGCAATCCTGGTGGGTTCCGCGCTAAAGGAAAATAAGTCTGCGTGTTTGGATGCGATTGAGTCCCCGGGACTTATGGATCTTAGCGATCGGGAGGAAGGGGAGCTAAGCAATGGGGAGATAGAAGAAGAGACAGAGTCTTCTAAGTCTGATGGCTACCAAAACCGTCAACTCAAAGATGCCAATACGGGGCCATACCCTCCATTATATAAGCCAGATGAACGATTTAAGCGGTTTAGTGTCGTTGATACCCCGGGTATTCGCGATGGTTCACCATCGCCTCAACAGTCATCTGACAGAGTCGCAGACCCTTTTCCTCTTCCCCATCAATCAAGTGCCCAGCACCCACAGAAAGCTCAACTGCATTCAGATAAGCCAGTAAGGCTTCCACCTTATGAGCCGACTAAGATGGATTCTGGATACTCTGCCCGGGACTCAGGATCTATCCACCTAGGTAACAATGCCTCTATTCCGTTTGGGAGAAGTGATGGTGATGATGTGGCTTGCTGAGACTCACATTCCTTTCTTATAGCAGGAACCACAAATCCATGTGATTCATTGCAAGCTTCTTCCATTCAGTCACCAACCCTACATAACAAAACAAATATTAATAACAACGGGACCCGCGCTTTACCCATGTATAGCAAGACCCCAGCACAACTTCGAGTTCAGGCGCTAGGAGCGTTGCTAGGTTTAGCTCCACACAATATAAAATTTGATGAACTTGTGAATGAAGGCGTCGACCCGGTTGTTCTCAAACGACTTTATGAGGAAATTGGGCTCAAAGTTACATCCACACAGAAGCCTGCATCTCAGTCTGTCACTTCTAATGAGTCAAAAGGGGCGATGGCTGCTCCACTGATAAAAACTCCAATCGCCCCCGATATAACCCCTCGGCCAGTGAGCCATGGCTTTCTAGGTGAACCTGGCCGCGAGCCGGTCAGCATACCGGCTCGCATACCCACACAGGAGGCAACAACTGTGCCGGTTACAAATACTAGCAAGCCTATAGAACGCAAGGATTTGATTGCCCAGATGCTTGCGGCCAAAGCAGGAAAACCATCTGGTAACTTAGAGCCAGGGAAATCTGAAGATCTAAAGGAATTAATAGCCCCACAAAAGCAGCTGACCCTTCCTAGCAATGATACGCATAAAGATGCTAAAGGACCAGCACAGAAATCGCTGCAACAAACTGCCAGTGAGACCCGCGCAAAGGAGAAGAATAAAGCCCAAACGGAATTGGCTAGACAGCGAATGGAACAATTGAAGAAGCAAGGTCTTTTGAAAACCCAAACTCGACCAGTTGTCGAATCCCCCGTTGCAACCCAATCAATTCCCTCCAGCGCTGGACCGGCTCTCTACCCACAAAATCCAATTCAACCGTCCCCATCTCACACTCTCCAAACTCGCCCATCCTTGAGTCATCCGCTACCTTCTCGCCCTCCCGAACCTGAGCCATCCTCGCCTGCTCGCATCCCTGGTTTGTTTATGACGAGTTCGGAACCTCCCAAGGTTGAGAGGCCTTCCGTTTCTAATGGTGACTCGATCGAGTCAACCCAGCCATTCTCGAGGAAAATACGTAGCCCCCGTAAACGCCCCAGAGCGTCCGATTTTACCGATGATCCGAGCCCCATCCCTCCAAAGAGAAAATTCGCCCAAGAAGGGAGAGCGGCGAGCCCCCAGCTCAAGGTAATTATCGATATAAGTGATGACGAATTTATTTATGGGTCAGACATCGATGCTCCTGTGCTAGAGCAATCTGCATCTGGACCTGCCCTCGCCGGCTCGGACGGGCATGCGACATCGACTCTCCTGCCATCTAGAGATTTTCCTCCTCTCTCCGACTTCCCTTCACGAAATTACTCTCATCGCTCTACTCCAGCAGTATCTGTACCACAAACACCTGGCCGAGGCAAAGAACAGGATGATCTACACGTCAAACACATGGAAATATTGGCCATGCGCCGGAAAATAGCTGAACTGGAGAAAAGGCAAAAAGAGAAACTGTCTACAAGCCGGTTAGAATCGCCGGGCGCCTTAGTTCGGCCGACTACAACCTCGACTGATGAAAATGGATCCGTTATAACGACTCAGGGGTTGCAATGGAAGTCCACAGTGGCAGCTTTACCTGACAAACCCCCTTCAATTCAGCATGGGAATTCGTCGGTTGTTCTCAGCAACCCTGAAGGAGTAATGAATCCAGGAGCTCAATCAACACCCAATTCCCTTAGTTCGTTGCGTATTCCGTTAGTTCTGTCAGAGACTCCTTTCGATTCCGACCAGATTGAATCGATACGCAAAAAGTTCTTGCGGAAAAAAGAAATAGAGTCTGGACTACCCGCACTCGAGGCTGAACTGCAGAGATCGGAGGCGAGATTATTACAATTTCGTGAGGAGGAACAGAGGCTTTTGGCTGAAATCGAGAAAGGAAGAGCTGGAAAACAGCGTCTGGTCGAAGAACTGGACGCTCTTGGAATTGAGACAGCAGAATTGTCTATCGAAGAGCTCCAAGCGACCAAGGACCGTCTAGAGGAGGCAGGTGAGAATGGAGATAATAACCAAGGTGAGCATTATCCCCACAATGAGTAATACAGTTATCCTCTCCATAGAGTTCCAGTCGCATTGCCAGCGATATTTTTCTACAAGCCAGAGACTCATAAAAGTTCAATCCTAATTACCAGTTCCACCCCAACCTTCTCCGATGGAATCTGTCGTAGATGGTGCGCAAGTCACTGAAGATTCAACTGGCAGTGGGGTAGTTCGAGATCATGAATTCACTTCAACTGTCCAACCGTTAACCGAAGAGCCAGTGACAGTCAAGCGTTTTGAGAATGTCCCAAAAACATCTCAAGAAGCTATAGATATGAGAATTCCATCCTCCAAGGAAAACGAGGAGGACATTTCCCCCGGCAACATGGCGGACGACGGGTCATCATGCTCTAGCTCCGCTATGGATGAGTCGATGGGTCGCACAGAGGATATGTTTGCCGAAGAGGAGGCGCAAGAGCAGTTGGAACCGTTAATAGAAGAAAATCAGTCCCATTCTTCTGAATCCATGGCACACGCAGGTATGGCCGATTTAGAGGAGGAGCAGTCTCAAACAAGTGGGTCTCCTAGACCTCTCTGTACCACCTCGGAGAACCAAGCGGCTCATTTCATGCATCAAGCAGATATCACCGACGATTCAATGAATTCCCGGGAATCTTCAGTTGGATCAGATGTATATGAGCCACCTGAACCTGAATTTGTTCCCCAAAATTCCCATCCCATAGTCTCACCACCCTTCGGCTCCGCTTCGCCAGACAATGATAATTCAGAAGACCATGTGGCTCCCGACTCTCTCTCATCTCAACATTCCCGAGATGTTAACGTACTAATTCTAGACACACAGGGATCTATGACTGAACCTTGCCCGGATCCCACCAAGGTATCGAAACACTTCTCGTCTGACTATGCCGAACAGCTCTAACATATTTGTTAGGATAACGAGGATACAAAGCGTGTAAATCACTATTTCACTCCATATAACAGCCCTTTGAAGCTATTTAGGGCCTATCGATATCATCCTCGTTTTACAGAAGATATAAATGGGGGTTTTCGTTCGTTAACTTACAGCCACAAAATCGATCCGCACAACTATATATGCCCATATGAAGCCGCAGGTGGATCTTGTAACGACCGTTCGTGTGAATATCAACATTTTCGAGATATGGCCTTGAGCGGTGCGTCGACTGAATTGATCCCAACAATTTGATTCCTTGTTTCACACTTTACAGTCTATTTCCTGCCCCGTTTCCTATATCCCGATCCCATTCTAACTTCTCCTTTCCATCGCTTATCTTTACCATATTGTCCATTTGTCCCCTTTTATTTCCTCATCTTTGGTCGTAAGCTGACTAGGACTGATATTAACTCTTACAGAGGACAAAATACTTGTTGAAATGGGCTCCGTGAGAGAAGGCAAGACTCCTGAAGAAAAGGAGGAATATGTTGCGGGACTAAAGCAGACCATCAACGATATGCGCCGCGATAAGGTGAAAGACTTCAACACTGTTGCGATGGAAATTGCCGGCTACCGTAGACGATTCCTGGATGACCCCTCCCGAGTTCTGGCCTTGTAGACTGTGCCGCAATCTGGGCTTATACATGATCATCACTGCAAATATCTCTTAACTTAAAATCATTCAGATGCAGACCGATTTCAAGTGGTCCTGCTCCACTTAACAGGTGAGACGGTTGCAGGATAGAAAAACCGTGAGATTCAAAATGTGCTTGATGGGAATGGATGATCCCACGAGGCAAACGATGATTAACCACGTCAAATATATCTTTCCACCTAAATCCTTGGATTACAAAACTCTCTCTCTCTCTTTTCTCCCAGCATTTCTCGTTTTCTTTTTTTTCCTCTGCGATTCCAGATGAAGCGCCTCCTCGTGCTTCCTTGCTTCTGTCGTTGAGGAAGCTTTTAATAGTTCCGAATTTTCAGCGTAGCATGCCCACTCTGCTCATTGCTGCGGCAAAATATGGGCCTTCTAATCTACGAGACCTTAAAAAGAATATTACTTGAGTTTACAACCCTACGTGCTTGCTGCGAAAGAGAAGGAAGGAGGAAGAAGAAAGAAGACGAAAACAAATAGAAAAAACAAAATCAGAATGCCGTATAAGAGGGGAAATTGGGGGGGGAAAGTGTGGAGGCTAGTCACAGAAAAACGTCAGCGAATAAGTGAAGAATACAGGGCTGGGAAACTCGACAGCCCAGTGGAGAAAGAGGATTTCGATTACGGCTACCCCTTCAGGATAGGCGGTTGTGTTCCGACATAGCCGTGCAGGCTATTAGCTTTTATTCTCTAGGAACAATATGCTGGATAATGCCAAATAACAGGTGGATGGCAGAGAAACATGGGGAGCAATGGAGGAAGAGAAGCAAAGAAAGCAATGGGAGAAAGCGGAGAGGATGATATGGAAAAGAAAAAAAAAGAAGAAAAAAAGAAGAAAAGAAAAGAAAAGAAACCAAGGCTCCTCGCCGCTCTGCTCTCGCAACTTTGGTTTGATGACCCTCCCTGCCTCTATTTCTTTGAGAAGAAAGCAAAGACCAAGACAGGGAGGGGATACGGAGATTCTGAGTATATGCTCCCTCCCACCAATCCACCTCCTACCTTTCCCCTCGTTGACTAGTTTGCTCACTCACATTTTCCATTCCTTAATTTTCCCATTTACTTGTATCATCAGGCATTCTTATTACCCCTCTCATTGGTTCTTTTGCATATGGGGGTGTTTTTTGGCATCTTTTCTACAAAGGGGTTGACATACTCCTATCCCAGAAACGCGTCTCTTGAGCCTTTTTTTTGTTATCATAAAAAAATAATAATAATGATAACAATACAAATAAAAATCCAAAGACTCTGTTGTAATCCTTACCTTAGCGTTTAAATTTAGAATATGTGGATAATATCGCAAATGCATTTGTGAGTATGGAGTATTGATTTTTTAAATGGAACATCATTGACGTCTCAGAATTTGAGTTGTGTGGAAAGTTAAATACAGTGCTTAATATTAGAACAGTTTTAATATGGGGCAAATGAGATATGTGATTCCATGTAACTCAATAAATGCGCTTATATTGTCATATAATGAAATACATGAGTATTACTGAAAGTAAACGAGAAAGTTTGGAGAGATGTTATGATTCTATGCATGTAGTGTGGGAAATATAAAAAACTCGAAAATAAAATGAATAATTTTTTTTTTTTTTTTTTTTTTTTTTTTAATTTTCATTTTCATTTTCAATCCCTCTTTTTGACGAAATTGGTGATTTTCTGCTTCATTATTGTAGTGTGTTATCTACACTATGCCATAAATCATCATCATCATCATCATCATCATCACCATCAAGCAGAGAAACATATCAAGAAACTTCTCAAAAGAATTCATGACTCACAACGACGTATGCCTTATATTTAATAGGTAGGAAGCGCTGGGCGGAGAAGTGTTAACTAGCTGTTTAGTCTCTAAGCGTGCTAGCACATCAGTGGCTACTCCACCCTGCTCTGAAGTTTATGACTGTGTCATAAAATTTCATGAAGACAGCAGAGAGTATGTCGATGAGTCAACATAACTGTTAACTAGTTCTTTGGGGAAAGGGGGGGGAAAACACCGTGTTGTATCAAAACTAGGCCCCAAGGCGTTCTTTTGTGGCACGTCTGGATCTTGTTGAGTTGCAGCCCCACGGATATGAATAACGAATAATGAATAATGAGGAATACACATCGACCTCCATTTTCTTGTCGCCGATTTTGGAGGGTTTTTTTTTTTTTTTTTTTTTTCTCGTCCTTTTGATAACCGCTTGCAGTTTACTGTGGCTGCGACGGAGAAACCCTGATTTCAAGCAGTGAGACTATGAGAGAGATTGGGACCTGCGCGTTGACGCCTGGGGAGGCCAGCCTACTGTCTTTAACGGGTCGTTCTCAGCGCAAGGTGAGATTTTCCCAGAGCGCGGGAGTGGTGCAACTTCTACCGAGACATGATTGCTTTTCCTTTTGAGCACAGGAGAGGGGCTAGATTCCTGGTCATCACTAGGAGAGTAAGCCCGCGAGTTTACAGTCGAACACGATCGGGAGAGGGTCTTTACCGTCATACTTCATGACGCTTGCTGTTCAGGCTGTGTAGTAATCAGTTGTAGGAACGATTAGATGTGGCGGTGCATGATGTGAGGCTGGAGCAGTTTAACTTGCGCCTTGAACGGCAGCGGAAAGGGACCCTATATACGAGACCGCATGTATGATCTGTGAGTTTGAACCTGCTAACCTTGGGTGTTAGTCCTCTTCTGTATTATTCGATGTTTCGCAGCTTGGATATTGTTAAAAGAGGGTTGAAATACTTTTGCAGGTGCTGCTGCGCCTCATGTAGGAATATGAGCCGAGAGGTCCGTCCTGCAGGGCATGTTCTCGCCAGCGCCAATGCTTCAGAGCTGCCCTTCTAGTGGAATATTGAGCTACCCTAGCAAAACACATGAGGCTGCTGAATGCCCAGTCCAGTTCCTTTGAGTGGGCCCGCAGGGCTGCAGTTTTTAATATTTCGTCTGACAAACACATTTCAGGGCAGAGCGGAGTCTTATTCTTCGTCCTGGGGGTTATAAGATGTACAGTACATGTGGAGCCTGAGAAAATAAAAGTTCCTACGTCATCGAAGAGGTCATGGGGAATGTATGAGCAACTGTCGATTTTCCGCGGGGAATTTCTCATAGCGTTTATGCTCTATGGTCTGGTATGCCGAAGAGTAACGTGTTTTGCTCATCTATTCAATACTCATCCAACACGGTTTAATCTCCATGGGGGATGGAAGGTTGTCAGCTAAATACAATGCCAACCGTTGGGGAGGAACCTTGGAATTTTTAGAACTTTTCAGGGCCCTTTCAGGTGACCATGACACAATGCTCCGGTGGTTTGTTTGCACCAAACCTTTAATGCCTTGCAACCCTGCCGAAAGCATTGTTTTCTAGGATCTCGCCTTGGTCCAGGAATCAGCACAATTTTGTTTCTTCGAGGATCCACGCTAAAGGAGCTAGAAGGTAACCAAGGCCTTCTGGAAGGAACAACGTGATCAAGGCGTCAAAGGTCTGTGGCTTACTGAGAAATAGTGCAAAAGATGAGGAGCGGGGCGGGGTTTGGGATTCTTGGAATTATGGACAATTGACGCTCAAATATTCATCATTTGATCATACGGGGAGAACTCCTCCGTATCAGAACTTAGAGAAGTTTTGCGCTATCTCATCAGCCTTTTCCCCTTCAAAGTTCCGGTCAGGGCATCATCCATGGGCCTTGACAAGGGTCCAAGCCTTTGATCTCCAACCGTCATCACCATCGAGTTAGCGCGTATTGAATTCAGAGCCAATTCTGAGTCGTGCCAAGGGTGGTAATTATTACGCCTCGGGCGATCAGTAACTTTCGGAATATTCTGACCAGATGACTTGCGATTGGCAATGCCATTCCGTCTTCCGGTATTCTGCACTTTATTTGTATATATATATATATATATATATATATATATATTGTGGTGCGGAACCCGGGTCCCGTGCTCCAGATGAGATGGATCTATGGTTTTCAGAGTTTCGACACATGATATCTGCAGACTTCCGCGGCAAGCTAACTCATCAACATGGATACGCAGCATGACTAGTAAACAGAGGCAACCAGGCCAACCCGCAAGATCGATTCCCGATCACTGACCGGGGAGGACCTCTGATGGGCATTCTTGTGACAAGTCCCGGCTCCAAGATTGTTGCCCGCCATTCCATGGGCTCTTTTCACCCTGCGTGGACTCGGGCGTGGAGGAAGGGGACGACGTGTCAAGCTCCTAGACATTTTTCCCAACGTCCCAAGGATGCCAAATCCCTGAGCAGTCCGGGGGTGGGGTGTCACGGGGTGGGGCTAGCCTCAACCAGATAAGCCCTGGAGCCGCAAGCCCCTGCCCGTGGTTCAGCCTAGCTCCGAAATAGCTTAGGTGGTTGAACTAGTAGATTCAGCCCCCTGGATTTATTTTCCTCAACTCCTCTAAACCATCGATGGATCTAACTATCTATTCTCCGTGACGAACATCATCGTCGTCATCCTGAATTCTGTGACGCAAAATATGGATCATTTCTCTCATTTCTATTTCCATAGAAAACAATATTTACTAGAATCACCCGGATTTTAGAACAATGAAGAGTTCGAAAAGTCAAACAAATGAAGGCGTCAAAAAGACCGTTAATCCAACCAGCCAATCCAACAACAAGCGTCATTGGTCGTCCGCGAAACCAAGGTCTATGACACATTCCAAAAAAATATCATGCATTCTGCACACCATCACGCTGTACCTGTTCCTCATTTTGACCTCCACCCCAGGGAAAGGTACCCGGTGGAATATCACCCTTCCCACAAGTTGCGCCCGTTGAGGTGCGCACAGTGGAAAAAGCAACGATAATACGAACCATTCAGGGAAGGGGTTCGTGAGGGTTTTCAGCTGATAGGCCAGCGACCAGGCTTTATTTTTCGCTTCCTTCTCCTATTTGTTCCTTAACAAATCTTGGGCCTGCTGCCATCCGCTTAAACTGCTGCTTCAACATTGGCCAAGAAGTTCTCCGGACATGTTGTGTGCTTTCGCCAGCTGGCTTGGTTTCGGGGATGCGACAGCGATGACTGGACACATTGGAAAACGTTGAAGTAGTTATTCATTCACGTCAAGTAATAATTGGCCCAATTAGCCACCACTGCTTAACAAGGCCCGAGGGAATTTTATTGAAAGTCACCTACATATATTCCCCCATTGGGGGGGGGGGGGGGTGGAATAACTACTGTTCTCAGGCAAAGCAGTGGTAAAATTCCATCTGCAGAAACTAGGCAGCGGCCGAGCCAATAAAATCATTCAAATGGCCATGTCTTCCAGGCAGCGAAACACGGCTGAGATAACTAAAATGTTTTTTTTGCTCCTGTTTGAATAATTTCCTTGTTTCAAGAAGAAGGTCATGAGGTAGGTGATTACCGTATTTAAGCATCGCAGATATCTTGTCTATTTTTTTTTTTTTTTTTTTTAATTTTTTTTTTTTTATTTTGGACGGGAATTCGTCTTGAGATTTTGAATCTCTGAAGGTGATTCAATCATCAGTCTAAACTGAGTTCTCCAATGTTTTAGTTAGCGTCGGTGACTAAAAAAAGTAAACGAGCCGCTAATGGGGCTGTCTTGGTTTGCAAGGCTCCCCAGGCTGACTCTTGCCTAAATATAAAGGCTGCAAAAACGAGCAAAGTATCCAACTTTCGAATTACTCCAATTGATGCCTCCCAAAAACGAAATCGAAAATGCAAATAGTCTAAAGGTACAAATGGAAAAATTAAAGTCTTAATCATGGAAATGTCCCAATGCAATCCCCCCATAGGCCGGCTATAGGGCTAAACCAAAAAATGAAAACGCAATTGAATGCAGAAACCCATCTGTCTAATGGCCGATTAAAAGGTACGAAAGGAAACGGAAGCAAAAGTCGCCATCCATATCCAAAATAAAAATCGCATGCTCAATCGCTAAATCGTCAAAATCATAACACATGGCGCTAAATGCAAAACATAATTGAAGGTATGTCGAACTCTCGATAATCGCGGCTGAAAAAGGCAAAGAAGTCAGAATTTGGAGTTCGGAATTTGGTATGTTCTATAAACACTTACAGAACAAATGGCCTCAACGCAATAACAGATGGCTACTTGATGCGGGCGCAGTATCCGCAAACATCGTGATCACAATTCACACAGCGACCCTGGTTCTGAAAGACTTTCGGCCCATCTCCACATATGCAACAGATATATAGATCTGTAGAGCTGTGAATTCCGGCATGGAAGTTTTCCAGGAATCGTTTCATAACGCTGGGCACCGGAGGATCTGGGCTCGCAAACGGTCTGTAGGTGAAATTTGCTGAAGGCAATCGCTCCATTGTCGTGACGTGGACTCCGTGTGAAGATAGTTCGTGAGGAAGCGCCCTTGATCTCTCGGACGGCTTGTATGCACAACAAGAACATGGTTGATGACCGCAATCTAAGCAAGCAGTATAATTGGAGATCATCATGGGGCCGAAACCACAGCTACCACAGACCCAGTGTGTGACATACGGCATTGCTGTGAAGTGAAGAATGAGGACAAATATGAAATATGAGGATAAGGGAAATAGGACCGGTTCTGTATTTCGCGGAGAATGAATCTGGTTTGTTATTAGAGAATGTTGAGGATGATGATAAACGGTGGACAGAAAATGGATGAGAGATAGGGGGTTGATGGCATATTTAAATCATGGCCAAGGTAGCAAAAGAAACGTAAATCCCATGGCGAAATAGCCGGCGATGTATGCCTGAAGAACGAACTAGTTTGCCAGCCGGGACTCTGAGCGGAAGGCCAATTCTAGGCCAGTGCATCGCCCCTCTATGTAAGTCACGTTTGGTAGACAGTTTCTAGATAGATCATAGGGCACTGGCGCCCAAAACATTCCAAGAATTCTTTTCTTAACGCGGGGCTGTCGTAGATCCTGTAAACCATGTAATTGCAATGACTGATCGGAATCCTTTTTATGAGTAGCGGGGAATGACAGGGCCCACTCCTTCGCAAAGTGCTACCTAAGATAGGACCGGGCGATTGGATCAAAGTTTGTGGCCTTGAAGACAGGGTTCTGCACTGAGGACCTGGCTAAGGCTGACCTGGGAGTTGGAGCGACACAAGTCGAACTACCAAGCCTTTCCGCGCCATGTCAGGAAAAATTCCGTTGCCTTGAGAATGCTCTGTATCAAAGAATGCCTGGATATCTTTAAGTTAGTACGCAGACGGTGAATTCAAAATGCGGGACCAAAAATAAAATCATTTCAGGCAACATGCACTTGGTGTTTGAGTAGCTCATTGTATCAGTTTCACATCGGCGGATTCCGACCTCCACAAGTCTAGGCAGCCTTTCCATACGAGAAACTTGTGAAAAACACCGCCAGCTTCACTACAAAAAAAATAAAATATAAATATAAATAAATAAGTTTGTGGATTCGCGTAAAAGGAAACGCTTTAAACAGACAAAATCCAACAATACACAATTTTAATAGATTTGAAAGATTCAGAAATTAACATGTGGAATGGAAAAGAAAGCCAAGTATAACTCTGAAAAAAAAAACACTCTTCAAGGATTTAATGGAACTATTCTAATTACGCAAAAATGCAAACCAGAACTGAATCATGAGCAGCTCACTAGACTGGATGAAGGTTTTAACATAACATGTTGAGTCCAGAGCCAGGATAAATTAACAAACTCCCCAAAACATCGATAGCAGAAGAGCTCATAATTGAATAAGAATTAGAAACTGAAATCAACGGATTACAAGAAAGCGTATCGCAAATTCATCAGTCAAATAATCAACGGGTATCGAAATGGAAATGGGAAAAGGAAAAGATGAGCCAAAAAAGTCACTTTCGGGCGTAGCTTGTCAAGAAGCAAACAACGCTACTTACTCGTGTATCGGTGATTCTTGCGATGGGACAAGCACCTCAATGCAATTAGAACATTTCGGTGCGTCACAACCCAAGCACTGGGAATAGAACGAGGAGTACGGTCCAGGTAAAACGCAACTTCGGCAACATGTCCAAATGCGGGTAAACCGTCTTCTCGGAGAACGTAATTCCCGTGACGATTCTCCGTTCTCAGATATTTTGTCATGAGCTTCTCCAGTCAATGTTTCTGGGACCCGGCGTTCTCTGGTTTGTAGTTTAAGGCGACTATTGAACTGAACTGCGGGTTCGCTCAAAAGCTCAACGGACCTTTCACACTTTTCTCTAACGGGGTGTGACGTTTTTCGTGAGGAATTTGCGTCATTGTACTGCTGCTGCTGAGTTAAGCGCAGATCCTCGTGGTATCTTCGGTCCGTAGGAGATGCATACTGTAGGAACGTATGCTGGCTTGGACGTTTTCCGGTAGGATCTGGAGGATAAAGGAGATGGGCGGATGGGCATGTATACATGCCGTTTCGCAACATCCCATTTTCAGACTGTTGATATCCTGCACAAGTTTTATTCTATGATTGTTAAAACGTCAACTCCAAGTTTGAGACAACTAGGAGAGTCCAAAATACTGACCCCAGACATTTGAAGCTTAGCGATTGATAAAAGGTTTGGGCTCTGATAATTCTGATCAGTGAACAACGGTGTCTATGTGGGGCTGAGACCCAGAAGGTGAACGACGACCCCGTTAACCTCGATTTCGGTACTTGAAACTGCTAAATGCTAATACTCTCAGGGGATGGGATATAAAATATTTATATCATAGACACGGACAAATCCATGACCAGCCATAGACAAAGAAGTCTCTCGACGTAATTTAACATAGATATCAACGATGAATTCCAGGGACGCAAAACCAGGGCACGCGTTGCCTCACAGATATATTATTGCCGTACAGTTTTGCTAGGCCGGGGGTGGTAGCCCCGGTTTGCATTGCCCCCAATTTCGAAGTTCCGCCATACGGACATGATGAGTCCAAAGGCGGAACACCCATCGTATTTTTCTGTAACAAATTCACCGCATGCCGAACACTTTGGGTAAAATAGCACAGCCACAGGGGTAGGCATCCAGCGCTCCTGGATAAAGGTTAAGGCATAGATCAAGGCCAAGGCGTGGCTAGTGCAAAATCCGATGTCAAACACCGACAGAGTGGCTTCCTCACCGGAAAGAAAATTGAATCACGGGTTTCTTTTTCAGCGAACAATATTCCAATGCCACGAAACGAGCCAAACCTGTTTCCATGTATGGTTGAAAACTGCCCGTTGACGTATTCACTGCATATACCCAGAAACTTCGTCCTGGTAGTACGACACCTTACCCATATCCGAGATGGGCGTTTTGCGGGCAAGAGAAAATAGGGCAAAAGGCCAGGACATTGTAGCTGTAAAAGAGACAGGCGACAAAAGGGTTTCGCAAAGGCTTAATATCTTTTGCCCATATCTTTGGAGAGTCCAAGCCATCAACCCTTCCTCACGGATCCGAGGCAAGAGGGGTTGAAATGGTGTGATCCAGCCTTGCAGCCTTGTCCTCTGGGCAGTCATCCAAAGCCAGATTTCACCTAAAATCAAACTTGACGAATAACTCCACTTCTACCATAACTACTAAGTGAGAAGTCTTCTCTCAAAACATCGCCAGAGGGTGCATGGCCAGAAAGACGTAATGATGTCAACGGACAGGGCGACGTTGGAAAACAAGGGAAGCTGGAACACGCCTCATCAAGAAAATTTTGCCGAGCATCGTACGGAAAAAAGAATTAACAGCTGTAGGGAATCAGCAATGGTTCGGTTGAACAAACGTGTTCAAAGACCAGATACTTGTGTTTGCTGGATGTCATGTCTTCCAAACTTGTTTGGCAGCAGATGATGTTGCGGATGTTGAAGATGCAAAGGGGGCGGGGAAACGAACACAGTCACGTGATCATAGGCTGGGGACTTGTTGCCTTAGGGATCACCTGATCCCTATGGAATCGTGCTTCGTCTTTAGTCCACCATATTAGACTAAATTATCTGGCGATTGGGCCTTTTTGCCAGGTAGTCTAGCATGTTGGAGATCTCTTAAGGCTCCTCCACCGACCCGGCCAAGTTCAGCCACGTGACAAGGAGATATATCTGGCCTGAGAGCCACAAAAATGTAATAATCCTCAGGCTTCCTACAAAAACAGAGGAGGTGGATAGTAGGAAAAGAGAAATGGAATCCCAGGGTTTAGTCAGTGCTTGAGACCTAAGGTTCGGAAAATCCTCCAATTATTCTCAGCTGCATATATGGAGAGTCTCTATACGTATATTCCCCGTTCTCACGGTTGTCAATTGGGCTGTGAAAACCTTTCCAAGGTTCTATTTCAAGCGCAAACCTTGGAAAAGCTTTGATGGAAACCTTGGAAGCTTGGTAACTACCTTGTGACGCAGATTACTAAGCAAGTTCATCTTCCATGGACAGAGCTGGATTTCTCCAAGCACTATTCAGCAGACGACTTTCTTTGTTTTCATAAACTTCTTGTTATTCAGATGGTTATGGTACAGCTTTAGTGACGGCCCATAGGCCTTTCCTTGGATTGCATTGTTCTTTTCGGCCTGCTCAAATCTGATGGCCTGCGATCAGAAAGCTGCCAACCGCGCAGTTGCCCGCGTCATCCCAGTGATTCTTGGTCTTATAATTATCTATGCTTGTTGGGTATTTACAAAATCATTATGCAGTATGTTGTTACTGCTAATCTTACACCCCTGGGCATGACTGGGTAAAATGGCTAACCGCTGAAAGTTGATTATCTTTTACATTCGAAGGCACGGAACCCCAGAAACGCCGTTTCAATCGGCTTATTGGTCGCATTCTATATCCTGTTAATAGGGCTACTTGTGTCATATTTGCGATTGCTGGCCGCGCTCATATGGAATCCGGATTATGTCCCTCGCGGGCCGCAATACGCTGAGTCTCAGGCCTCCGCAAGTTCTAGTAAAGGGAAAAGCGTATCTCGAAAAAGGAGGCAGTCAATTTTCAGTAGAAGCAAAACTGATGAGGAGTGGCACGACCTTGGAGAGGTAACTGGAAACCATGTTGGAAAAAGCGCGTATCCGTTTGATGCTTCTGGACTCGAAGCTTTCTACCTTAAAGACGTATATGTCTGCAAAGAAGATGGCAAGCCACCGTGGTGCTCCACTTGCCAACAATTCAAATCGGATAGGGTTCACCACTGCCGAGAGGTAGGCCGTTGCGTCAGAAAAATGGACCATTTCTGTCCTTGGTATGGAAAATCAGAATTTCCATTTAACTGTCTATTTGATACTAACATGTATCGCCAAGGGTTGGTGGAGTGGTTAGCGAAACTTCTTTCAAATTTTTCATTCAATTCCTTTTCTATGCAGTACTTTTTACGACATTCAATTTGGTCGTGATGGCAGTGTTCGTGGCAGAACACCGTAACAAGGTATGTCCATTGCAATATTCAGCCGTTAAAGCATCGCTAATACTAGCCACAGAATGGAAAACTAGTTGTCCATTGGATTTTAATCCTGGCAGTGTAAGCTATTTTCCAATCAACAGATTACAATTGAATAATCTCTAATTCAAGTAAAGGAGCGGCTTGTTCGACCTGTTTGCGTTGGGGATGTTAGGAAGTTCTATCCAACTTGCTTGCTTAAACTCTTCAACCATTGAAAACCTTGATCGACGCGCGAAAGTATGGACTCTCGCAATATTGATCCCGCCGTCGATGGAATTCACCAGGGAGAATGCACAAACCCGACTTGCCCCTACCTTCCCCATAGTGTCATTCGCTACGCCTTTTGGGTCATCTTTACCCATGGAAAGTACTGCTAACTCAAGTAATTCTGAGCTACCGCGGCGAAACTTTGCTATCCTACATACAAAACCAGGAGAGAACCCTTGGGACTTGGGCAGCCCGTTGGCAAATTTGAAAGAAGTTATGGGCTACTCGTCTCTAGATTGGATTTCGCCACTGAAAAAACCCCCCTGCACTGACCATAGTAGACAGGAAAGTGCTTATCGTTTGGGCCATGTGGTTCAGCGACTTAGGAGCGAAGCAGGGTTCGATCCCCCAGTGGATGAAATGGAAAGGCATCGAAATCGTGGAAAGAGGAGGAGATCCTACAGGAGGACCCGAACCTTGTCATCTCGTGAACAACGCAGCAGCCCGGACACGGCACAAGATATCCACAGTGCTGAAAATAGTTCTCGCGAGCGACAGCAAAACGGCTCCTTTGAATATCATTAGACCGCAATTCATCCTTTAATAATAGAGCGACACGAAATTCTCAATGGTTGATGTTTGCCTGTATTGTTAATCTTGTCTTGTCAACACTATACCCATCATGTCTTTCCTGTGGTTTCTTTTGTCTCTTCTTCCCCTTTTTTGGGAATAATTCAATTCTGCTGGAGTGCGCTACCTACAAGTTGCCCAATCATTGGTCATGACATAGAACCCAGCGCAATGAGGGTAACGTCATCTTTGTGAACCCTCCAAAATCCAAGGACTCGCAAATGAAATAATAATATACTTTTGGTTAGTTAGTATTTTTCCAGGTTAATAACAAACTAAGTGTCCAATTATCCAAGCCTAGACACTAGAAGGTATTTTTAAAAATAATCCAGTTGATTTTGAAGTTTGCATATTAATATTTTAAGGTCCCCACAATTATACCTAGAGTGATAATAATAAACTCGCCATTCTGGAGGTTCCGAGGTTGGCTATTCGAGTAGGCTAAGCTAGATGGGATGGATCCAAGTTTATTTTAACCAATCAGCAGTGTAGTAAAACCGCCGTGACAATTAGTTAACACCAAAGACAATTTGTAGTGAGCTTTGAAAAGGCCATATCAATCATTCTTACGCCTCCAACGTACTAAATAAGCAAATATAATTAATTTATTTAGATCTCCTAGCCCTGCTTCACTCATAGACTATAGTAAAAATTTCAGAAGGCGTTGGGTTGGTTAAGGTTTACGTTGTAGGTAGAACCCAATAACGTAGCTCACCACTAAATGAGCCACACCACAAAATGAGCCAAATTTTCCACCACCAAAATCCTCCAACATTCAACATTAAAAATGAGATACCATGATCAACAATGAAGCAATTAAGCTTGCAATTGAAGATCTTGAATTGCAAGAGATTCCAAATTATAGCATGACTGTGAAGAAATACTCAATTAATTGAGAAATTCTGTGCTGACAGCATAAAGATCTACAAATCAATCGTAATGAAGTAATCTTATGATATAAGAAAGAGCTTTTCAATATACAGGAAGAAAAGCTTCTAGACTATATAAACATGCTCTCTGACTGTGGCTTTGCCTCTACACCTCAGATTCTGCAAAATATTGTACATGAAATGATGAGAGATAAAGTGAAAATCAACTGAGTGAATTGATTTCATAAATAACATAATGACAAAATCAAATACATTTATCTCAAAGCAATTAATTAAAATAGACAGATAGCAGATAACTACAACTGCTTTAAGCACTTTTATACATTTGTAATTTGATGATTTTTTGATTACAAGTACAAATGTTGAATTTGATTAACTTCTTAAATAATTAAAGTAAAAGATTAATTAGTATAATATTAAATTATATAATATCTACAACTTTGATAAAAAAGAATTTCTTCTAGATGTTTGTCATGTCTCAAAGTAAATAGTCTCTATAGAGACTCTATAAGCTGAAAAAAATACTGTCACTCAGAGTAACAGTCAGAAATTCATCTCTTTATTTTGTTCAGTATATGCTGAAGAAATCTCACTTTTTTCTACTTTCATTTATCAAAATGAATCAAGAGATCTTTAGAATATATAACTAGATAATTATGATAGTGAAGAGATCTACTTTGCAGCTTCAATAAATAGTTAAAACAATGATGAATATAAACTGAAGTAATTGAAATAAATCTTTAATTCTCATATAAATATACAGATTTATTGTAAAAGATATCTACTTCTATTAAATGAGCATTTATCTCATATAAATATAAAATTTATTAAATTTATTAATAGTGAAAAGGTTTTATTTGCAGTTCTATTATTATATTTAATTCATCATTTATAGTTTTTTGATGTTGAAGTTTTTGATCTACTGAGTAATATATATTTTAAAGAGCTAAAAGTACTATTATACTGTGAAATAAGCTATATTCAAATAATAAAACAGAATTTCTGAACGCTATTCAATGTAGTTTAAAAGAAGATTTTGATAAGTGAAAATATATAAGCTGATTTTGAAAAGATTAAAATTTATTCTTTGAATTCTCAATATTAACTAAGTCAATTTTCAACTGATTAAAAAGATGCAAATTTAGCTTTATTTATTTTACTCTCAATTTATAGCATTGTTTCACAGCTTTGATGAGAGATTAAGAAAGTACAACTTCAATATAATCAAAATTCATCGAGTTTAGAAAGAATCATTCAAGTCAGTGAGTAGTTTATACTTCATAATAAGCTGCTGATATATAAAAATTAAATTTTAAGAGCAACTCTAGTGATTGAGAAGCAATGCTGTAAGTAAGACAAGTCTTTAGATCTATTTAATAAAGATTTTTCTAATTAAGCTAAGTTTTTCTTTTCAAATAAAGTTCTTTAGACTCATGAACATCTCAATGAAATAGAGGCAGAGAAAGCTCAAAAAATTACTCAAATATAAGAAGTAAAGCTTCAACAGAAGCTTTATAAGAAACAGATTACTAGAAATACTGAGTAAAAATGAATTGAATAAAAGAAGACTTATAGAAATATCTGTGAGCAACAAGAGTTTTAAAAAATTGAATATGCTATACAAAGAAAGAAATAACATATTGCTTATAATGAAAAAGAAAACTCTCCAATTGATAGAGAAGAAAAAATGAGCTATTGAACATGCTGCTAAATGACAGCAGTCAGAGCTTCAAGAGTAGATTTCAAAGTATTATCAGAAGAACTCCTGTACTAAAGAACTTTATCACATAAAGGCTATATACAATCTTTCAAAATTAAAAATAAAAGAACTACAAGTCTTGCTAACAAGACTATATACTTCTCAGCTGAAAAACCTACTGCTTATATTTCTTTGAATTCTCTTCTATCTATTTTTTAAATCTTTTACTCTGGCTACAATATTAGACTGTTCATTTATTTATTTTCTTAATCACACTAATTTTTATGCTTCAAAGAACTCAGTTATTTAATAGTTAATAGTTAATTTAGTAATTAAGATCTGGTTATTGAGATATATAATAAATTCATTGCATTAAGTAATCATAGAAATCTGGCTCATTTAGTGGTATGGCTCATTTAGTGGTGAGCTACGTAAGCTGTAAAGATGAACAAAAATGCAGCCTATTATTAGGTTGCAGTTTTATATTTTTTATATGGAAGAGAAATTAATTGTGGTACGAAATATTGATACATTTCATCTATTTGAAGTGAAGCGACTCGGTAATTGGATGCTGCTGGGATTGAAAAAAAGAAAAAAGAAAAAAAAGAAAAAAAAAGAAAAGAAAAGAAAGAAAGAGAAGAAAGAGAAGAAATAAAATACTAGTAGTCCCAAACGTTGTAAAATTGCAAAGCACTGAGAATATAGAAGCTACCACGCTACATATGCCAGGTAAAGGAGAACTTCCAAGGAAGAACTGGATAGCCCGAGGATAAGAAGAAAACACTGTTAATGTCAAAATATTCAAGAAGTAAAAGAGTAGATCTGTTGTACAGGTATGAGATACAAACGAAGATTAATACAAAGTTAAGGTCTATCGTGAAGTTACATAAAAGGAAAGTAAAGTTTGTCCAGTATAATGGACGAAATCTAGTAAAACACAGGAGAAAAACAATATCGCCAGACATCCATTGCGGAGAAGGAAACATATCAAAACATAAGGGTATAATGAGTAAAATTTTCTGGGGAACAGAGGTCGTTGGTGACAAGGATGCTCTAAAGTATCTGTATCACAACAATCTCTTCACCCTTTCAACGCACGTCATGCTAGAACAACCAAAAGCTCAGGCAGGAAGCCGTCTTAAATAGCAGTCAATGTTTCCACAAGCCCCTTGAGGCTGTGAATAAAGTTCGATGTTCGCAGCATGGGCTACTGTTCAACAGGACATTTTGGACACTTTTATGCTCACAGTCGTGACTTGCATCGGGGGACAGCGCGGGATTGATTGTTCAAATGTACATTGTCAGAAACATGGCAATGCTACGATCCTCTCATGGAAGGTCTAGCAAGCACCTTGGGGTCAATAGTCGAATGGACCTCGCGTCTCACAACTGTGAAGTTCACTTGAGGAATTCCGTTGTTGCTGCCAGCATATGGGGTAGAAACAATGGTGGTCAGAGGTCGGGGGAGCACCGACAGAAATTCGTCTATAGCCCAATGTTGATGCGATCGGTTTCGAGCTTGCCAAACTGCAGAATTGGAAGTGGACATGGCGTGTCTGCTTCTGCCCACAATGCAAGATGAACATCTTTGATGTGAACAAACAGGGCATTTGCTAGGTGCATTGGCGATGAGGTTTGGACCGTCACAATTGCAGCACGTCCACACATCGTTAAAGATTCGGGCCATTGTTTTATATGGCAAAAGAACTGGATATTTATACCGGAGGTGGAATCACTTTATGTCGTAGAAATAATGGAGGAGAGGAGAGGACGTATTTGGCACTATCAACTACGTCTCTGGAAAGCTATGGAGAATGGTTTAGTAGGACTCGAGATGATTCCAACAGAGCCTCCAAAACGATGATAACTGAAGAATTATATAGAATCTGAGGGGAGGCATTGCAATCAACTCAACACTGGGAAGCATGTGTGAGACACTATCATAGTATTAATTAGAAGTACGTCCATTGAAAGGCAACCGTCATGGGGGCCAGTAACGAACGGTGATGCGGCGAACCGCGAACAGGGACTGAGAAAATGCTGGAGATCAGGAAGAAAAGCAACGAACAAGACCGGTGAATGTGTTCAGTCTTCAGACCGGAATCGGTCAGGCAAAATAAAAATATGAAGCAATGAATTGAAACGTTCATACTAAACAGGGGGTATGTTGGGTTGGAATAACTCTCCTCTGGTTTACGTCATTGCTCCAGAAACGTCCGGAAGCCAGGTTAGAAGACTCAGAGAATGGAAAAGGAACTCGGTGGAAGCTTTGCCCACTGGAAAATGATTTCACCTTTTGATAACAGGCGGGTTAGCAAAACGGAGATATCTTGTAATGGAAACTTGTTAGTTGAGACCAACAAGCCACAAAATTTAACGTCTTTGGGTTAAAATTTGGTTATCTCCACAACATAGTGCTTCCAATCGATCTTCAAGTTATCTTATTAATGTGACAGGAAGGACGGCATTCCGCAGGCTCTAGTTTGGCCCTGCGCAACGGCGATCAGGTGTTTGGAAGTTAGAAAGTTTCATGTCAGCTAAGCCATAGGGCGAGCCATAAAATGGAAAGCAAAGCAACAAGACAGGGTGACCCTGAACATCCTTATGTGCCCCTTGCAGGAGCGACTCGAGTCGTTGGTAGCAAGCAGGCAACGTCATGAGCCATAGTTGGTGCCTTTGATTGAATGCCCTTAGGAGAGGAGCGGATCATGTCCGGTTCACGATACAGGGTCGCGCCCAATCTCCTGGATCGGTCAAGACGATTTAGCCTAACCGGGGGGAGGGAGGAGGGGGGGGGGAAGATTCCTTCAAGAAATCTTGGTTCGTAGGAGTCTCACATGAGGAGGTTCGATGCATATTCGGGCATGACAAATCGGAGCCTTGTCTGGAGATGGACTTGCAAGGCCACTTATTCTTCCTCGTGGGTTCACCGAACAGCCCCAGATGAATAATGAGGCTGTATGGGAAGTCGGAATTTAATTAACTGCGGCTTGAAAACCGACCCTATCGGTCCGCGGGCCATTAGAACAAATACTCTTTCCACAGAGGTTGTCCTGATCAGAATGTTTCAATATCTGACAGTTGAGGCTCTTGTGTCGTCGTTTGGTTAAGCACCTCACCTGCAGGGCTAACTAGCTAGTTCAACCATCGCGTCATCGAAGCTCTTGACTTAGTTACAGACACTCTAAACATTCTGTCTGGTTTCCTCCTATGCGGTTCGATAAACAGACTGCTGACATTTGCGGTGTGAGGTTGGCATCCCTCAACTGTCGCACTCCCCGCGTGGCAATCTAAGATCGCTTTTCCCAAATGAATGGAAGATGCGATTAGACTCAGTTGAAGATGGTTCGCCCAAGAAACATTTTGCCTTCGAGCTGTCGAGGAAAACGTATCACCCCCACAATTTCCTTCCCCTAGGCAAGTCGAGTCATTTGGGAGCAACCGGTCTTTTCAACAGCGCCGAAACTACCTGCCGTTCGGTAATCCTTTACCTTTTCACCCCCGCAAGGCAGCTTGAAGCCTTAAGTTATCTAGGCATTGATTTAAGGGGGATATTCTGGACCTTGGACTCTTCACAGCAATATATTGTATTTCAGAAAAGATTCCTATAATGAACATTGACTTGTGCTAATTTTTTTTTTTTTTTTTTTGCCACAGCTGTGCAATAGTCTCGAAAGATATTGAAGCATAGCCCCCATGCTAATTTGAACGTATTGATTTGTCGAAGTTGTTGGTTCCAAAGTTTTGTGGTTGCCAATAACATCCTGGATAATCTTTTAGTAATAGTAGCCAATTAGTAGTTAACTAGTTAGTTAGTTGATAAAAAGGCAAATGTGAGCAAAGAGTATTACATCGTTTTGGCATGATGAGATTTCTATTAACCTTAAATATCCGCGGTAAAACGAGTGTGGCTGATGAACACCTGTAAAACATAACTCTGTAGGGCTAGAAAGGATCAATACGTTAGAACCGTTCGGTTTGGAAAGCCGTTAAACGGCTGCCAACACCAAGAACCTCAAGGCTTTTTAATCATTAGGTTTCCGCGAAGGCAACCAGCATGATTTGACGAATTATTATCAATTCTTGGAGCACGCATCCCCTTTCGCCCGAGTTTACCTTTCTCCACACAGCCTGGGTGCGCAAAATGAAGACAACCCGGGGCTATTTCAGTCGGCCGAAGTACCAACCGAGTGGCAATTGAGAAGCTTTGTTCGATGTTATGAAAATATGCTCTGGACAGTTGCATCAGAGGTATATTATCAAAATTTCTGTCTTTGATTTGCTTTTTCCATAATGAAACACCTAGGAATGGAGAAGGTACATAATATAACACTGGCTTCTCCTAGAGTTATATAGTTATATCAAACCATGGATCGCTGGCTTGGAAATCTGGCTGAAGATAGGGTTCGGATTCAACCCGAGCGGTTCCACCGATCTTCCAACCGCGGAATCCGAATCAGGCGTCCATAGCGAGTTGTTGTATGTTTAGCCCTTAAAATTTCAATCCATCTTGCGCTTCAAATCACCGCTTCTTGTCAACTGATGCAACTCTCAGTCGAACCAAATTTCGTATGACAAGAATGGAAAAGCGACGCTTTGTGTACGACCTTACTGCCCTGTTAGTGGCGAGCAAATATTCCGCGTTGGCGTTCTATAATTGCGCGAGTAAATATACAGCAATCAAACAGTCGGGAAGGGAAGCGAAGTTTGAGGAATCTTGCTCTCCAGAAAGCCGACTGACAGCTGATGACTACCACAGAGCCGCACTTAAGTAACTAACTAGTTAACTTACCTAACCCCACACCAGTATATTAACTCATCCAACCTCCACCTCATCACCATCTCCGTCATCATCACACCACACGACATACAGCATATAGAGGAGATAATTTATCATCTCCAAACTCTAGACTGAAGCATAGCCTTCATTTCAGTTGTGTTCTATTTTATTTCCAGGTTAATTGTAAGCTCGCATTTATAGCTGTCATTGAACGTGCCTCTATCCGCAAATCCCGTCCAGCGCTCTATTAGCCCAGACTAAAGATTGAAAATTACTCAACAATCCAGGTGCCCATTGCTTGGAAAAAAGTACGTTTTCATCTTATGGATGAGTTTGACTGTTACGTTATTCAATCAGCCGTATCCAAGCAAAAGTAAGGGTCCTCGAGATTGCTGACGCCCTTCTGGCTTAGTTAGTTCAGATATCCAACTAAGCAGCCTCCCAGAATCACCATACTTCTCTCCCTCTCCAAGAAAACCTACTTCCATCGTTATATAAAAATCCACTTCAGCGTACTGGTCGACGAAGAAATTATCTCATACCTATTTTCGCATTCGCCCGCACCTGTCTGTCATTTTGGCACTTTAGATTTGTATCAGCCTAATCTCCCAATGTATCCCTCCCCTCGAATTTTCTTCCTGGCTATTGCAACCTCTATCTCTCCTGGAAGCTTTTGTCTTTTATTCCAATAATCTACAATTGGTTACTGAACATCTTTTCCCATTCTTCTTTAGATTGAAGTTCATTTCCACGTTCAAACTCGAGGGTGTTAAGTGACTCTCTCTCAGCGTCATTACATTTCCGTCAGAATCTGCCCAGAAGATCATCCATATCAATATAAGCGTATCCGCGGTGTTGGACTCACATTATGAGCCATCCACGCTATCGTCAGCCCTCGCCGGACAACAGGAATTTTGTTGATCCCATGAGAGCATCTACCGGGAATGTAATACTGGGTTCTGATATGGAACCATACAATCTTCCTCGAGTTGGCTATGATGGGTACTATTCGTCAAGTATCGCAGGTGATCGAAACTTAGAACCGTATTATAAGAATTATTATTATCCGAAGCGGTCCTCTCACCCTCCTGAGGATTTAATTACTTCTCATGCCTTTCGATTGACTGACCAACCATCCATAACTCGAACCGAATATACTATTCGCCCAAAAGGCAATACGTCGTCCATCACAGATTCCAATCTTCGTCCCCTAAACGTCCCTATACCGTCATCACCAAACCGATTGTTCGCGGGGTATGAGGGTGGTCGTCCTTCACGTCCGTCATCATATTATGCCAAAAACGAAACTGAACGTTACATTCTACCTTCATCATCTTTACCTTCAAGGTATCGTCGAATCTTTAGTTCTGATGACAGAGAAGGTATTCTCGTGCTTGATGACAAAGAAATACCTCCTCGTTCGGAGAGGGGGGGCAATTTAATTACCGGACGGAACTCGCAACGTGTTTATCCAATTCCTGCCCCACCGAATAAATCACAGGATATTGACATAGGAGACTCTTACTCATACACCAATCCTGCAGAACAGTTCTATAGGGACTTTGAGGCTTCTCAAAGCTATCTGCGCGATAATCCCTCTAGGAGAAAGGCAAGACCTTTGAGCTTAACTGGTTTGGAACGCTACCTGCCACAGATTCCCAGAGACCCCAGAGACTCCGGCCCGCCGCTTTCTGCGAGGGGATTTGACCGTATTGGAAGAGGAGAAACTCGTCGGTCATCATCTCGAGATAATAAAGGTAGTGTAACTTCCTATTCGCCTGATATTCGTCAAGGAAGATCCAGAGCCCCAGTCACTCTTCACCAGGACGGAGACAAAACTCCAAAGCAACATGAGGAATATGATGCCTTAAAGGAGTCCCCAAGTAACCGTCGATCCTATGCTGATG